GATGAACATGAGTAATTCTTCCTGTGCATACACTTATCTGTTAGAAATGAGGAGTAAAGAGGGTTTCTTCAGCCAGAGTAAGTGATTCAAGATAAATTACTTAATAATTTTACCAGACTATTTGCGTAGTATCAAGAAAAGAGCAACAAAAGCCATGGTATTATGGTTTATTGAATATATACTGATTTTATTATGTATCTGAAAGCTGAGTTTGTAGGTTTATATGTGAATTAGAATGCTGTCATGTTGATATCCCTCAAGAACTAATTACTGTGTACATCATTCTTCATTTCTGTAGACTGGAAGATATTTTAAAAAGACATTAGAGAGAACAATAGGTTACCTATACCTAGAATGCCTAAGAAATGTGAGTCATAGAATACAATCATAGAATCTTTTAGACTGGAAAACCCCTCTAAGATCACTGAGTCCAACCATTAACCTAACACCACCAAGACCAAAGGATAAATTTTGTAACATTTGTCTGTGTTCGTCAGTGTTTGAACCTTTGGTCATAATTTGTTTTGGACTTACTGTTTTGTTTCAGAACCTCTTGCTCTCTGTGGTCATGATAGATCACTAGTGGATTACAAACCACACTGTAACATCTGTCAAAATTAATACTAGTTTTTTTGGCTGTGGACTTCGTAAACGTGAATTAAGAGATAAAACTAGGAGGGGAGCAATAATTTTGAAGATTTTAGGCCCAACCAGAACAATCTGTCCTGTCATAGATGGCAGAAAAGGAAGCACCCCATGTGCTCTGAGGTTTCAAGAAGGTATAGAACATTCCTGGTGTCAGACTTTGATGTTCCCCTGCCTACTACGTTTAAAGAAAAAAGTCCATCACCATATAGAACTTGTTGGAAGAATATTGTTAATAGGGTAGTTGGGACTGATGGAGGTAAGGAGGTTCTGTCCTTGTCTGAAAAGAGGGGAAACAGATCAAAATAGGGAATTGCAAAGTTGCATGGGCTACCAGGTACCAGAATGCATGAACCTGGAAGCTTCCAAAAGATTCTCTCTCCAAGCCAATGTTTACTCTTTTGGTAGTTTATCAAACCCAGAGTCACTCTCTCATCTTGGTTGCCTTCTCTCTCATCATCAGTAGAGATATCTAATGCTCTTTGTACGCTAGTTACCTTGTACTACTTAACTTTTGCCAGGAGAGAGACAGCGACATTGCAGTATCGGTAAAGAGCTATTTGTGTTTATCTGTTTCCTGATACTGACTTACAGGCTCACTGCAAGTGATTGTAGCAGCAAAAGAGTCTGTGAGCAGTATGCAAGCGCCCTACTGTTTCCTCAGCCTTTTCCTTTTACTGCATTATGACTTATTAGTACAGTATTTGGGAAATCATGGGTCTTAAAATTCTCGTATTTCCTTTCTAATTGACTATATATTAAGTTGTGGATAAAAATGCCCTGGTTCCTCATTTTGATTATTTATCACTGTTCAGTATCATTGCAAGAAACACAAACTGTTAGTCCTTTTTTTGAAGTAAAATATTCAAACCAACTGAGGAAATGCAAGTAATTTGAAAGGGCCAAGTCTTTCCATTTCTTCACTTACTAGTGAAGCTGTATACAATATATCTGATGTGTGTATGGGAGCACTTCTAATTACCCTTAGAGCTAGTGAAAAATTGTTTGAATGTACATTTTCAACTTAAAAGAATGCTGGAGTCATTCATAGTTAGAAGAGAGTAGTAATATTTTTATTTTCTTAAAAGTATTTTCTTAAAGAAAAGAAAAAACAAAATGTGAGCTGGATAGGTGATGTGAAAAACCTGGTGGCTTTGGATGGTGATAATTCTAGAGACTCTCTTAAAGCTATATCTGTGGGGTGCCTCAGAGATTATTACAGTAACGTGCCATAGTAGAGAAGAGCACAGCTTACTGCATTTTGTTTGTCTGACCTTGCCATTGATGGCTTCTAGGATTCAAAAGCTTTGTTAACAAAACTCCAACAAAACTCAAGATATTTCCACATCCTTAATTGGCAATAAATATTTTAATTCATTCAGATTTAAATTGATCATATATGGAATGTATCAAAAGTCATGACATTTGATCAGGTGTATATATAAAGTCAGAGTGGAATGGTAGAAGCTTATGGACTAATTACAGCTTATGAGAAAATTTGCTTTTCTTTTTAATAGTGCTGCATGGTCAGGATAAGACTATCAATTTTTCTGCACAGTCATACTTTTCTACCTGTACAGTAAGAAGGAATAGTGACAAATTTAGAACCTACTGGGTAGTTTGAAGAGTTTTTTGATCATTGAGCCCTAAGCAGTGTGGTTTGCAGCTTCTCATAAGAAGCAGAATGGGATTGCTTCTGCAAAACTCTTTATCGCTGGAAGTAAAATAATGTTCACAAGCTTTTTCAAATATAGGGAAACTTTTTGACAGCAGTACTTCATGGTCATAGCTACAGAGGAGTTTACCAGCCAAACTGATACGCAAGGACACAGGAAAGACTACTGGTGGAATCAGCTTTTGCTGGCAGTACTTCATGGTGTCAACACAGGTTTTTGGCCATTGAAGATTTAGTGAAGGCATTTTCTGAAATAAAATATGTATATGTAGAAGAAATGAGTTGTTTTCTGATGGAGGTGGCTGTTTGGTTTTCTGCCTCTTTTTCTCGTATTCTGTTTTGAGAAACTCTTTCTGAGAAGGGAAAGATTTGTGTATTGTTTTGCATTTAGTGATGGGCATGACTCAGGAGAGGAGTGTGGAAAAGCACATTTTATACAAATGATTTAAATAGCACAGTTATTTTGCTAATCATTGTGCATTGCTACCTTGGCAAAAAGAATATAATATGTCTTAAAAAAAAAAGTAAGAAGAATGGTGTGGATAAAAGTGCTATTAATCTTTGAAGAATTCAGCTTTGGTCTCCTATGTCCTGTTGATTTAATTTGACTCATTCCACTACTTGGACTACATAAATTAGACTTTAAACATTGTGTTGCATCTCCAAATTTTGCGCTACTCTTCAATAGGAACCACCTTTTCAGTTTGGAATGTGTTATAGTGTTACTGTTCCTACTATAAAAGTACTTTTTAAATAGTAAATCTTTTTTTCCTATAAGCATATAGTATAGCTCATCAGACATTTGTGAAGATATGTATTTCAGTTTTCTATGCCATTTATATTTTACTACTTTCTTTGATTTTTTAAAAAAATAATTTTATACCAAAACACTGATTTAAATAAGTAACGATCTGTGGTTTCTTCAGTTTTATTAGAATAATGTACTTTTTTTCAGATCGTGGTGTGCTTTTCTTGGATATGTTATGTACAATGTTCTTTTTCATTTATTTAAGTGCATGTAAAAACATGAACTGAAGCTTGTGAAGGCAAGTAACTGTGAAACTAAGTTTTCACTTAGAAATTATATGTATCTTTATTAGATTACAAGAAAGTGAGAATAAATGGAGCTTTTTTGTTTGGGCAAAATGAGCAGGCTTGTTCTGGCAGATTCAATGGATTGATTTCATAATGTTTTTTGATTGTTTGGGTGTTGCCCTTTTTTTTTTTTGTATTAGATACTTGTAATTCATATGGAAAGTAAACATTCCAACTTTTCCAGTGTCTTTCACTGCTAAAGGCCACACTTCAAAGAAGCTGTAAGCATAAATGGCTTTGAAAAATAAAGTTAAGGTTTAGTATAAGAATAAACAGAATATTTCAATATTTCATGTACTTGTACCATAATGCAAGGCATCAAACTGGAATAAATGTTCATAATCAGCAGGGCTAGTCCATGGAAGAAGTACCTTTCCTTCCAACTGATTAAGTCACTTGTCTGTGCTAAAATAGTTTGTGGCAGCTCTATTTTCTCTTTTAAGACAGTTTAATTTTCAACTGTATCACAATATTAACAAATTAATTACTGGATGGAAAACTCACTTCCTTGTCTTGCTGTACTTTAAGAACATGACAAATAGTTACTGATTTTGTCAGAATCTCGAGTATTTTTCTTTTGAATCACTAAATGCACTCTGTCGGACTACTGATTCTTCTTGGATAGACTTTCCTCTTGTTTTGCTATGAATTCCATACTTTTTATCTACCATTTGTTTTCCCCTCAACATAAAGTTCAACTTTTTCCTTTCAAAATGCTGTTAATCCATTACAGCTAAGTCCATTACACCTTCATCACTGGAGGAATACCTGCATATGATGCATTATATTTCATCTTCTTAGTTTGTGAACATTTTAATGTGGGGTTTTTTTTGGAATTATTTAGTATATTTTATAATGTGCTGTGCATATTTGCATAATAAAGAAAGGATAATTATGAGAGGATGCACCTCATATCATCACATTGTTTTCTACAGCTGACAGTAGATGCTGAATTTCAGATGCAAATTCTACCTTTAGTATTTCATGCTAAAAAACAACCCTAATGAAAACAAAGTATAATAGTAAAATTAGTCAACACAAAGCAGTGGCACAACCTGTGGCCATTCTTACCAGGAATATTAGTAACACATTTCGTGGTGGCAGTGTCATCTCTCCGTGGTGTTACATAAACAAGATAAACAAATTTAAATATTGTCTCTACCTTTTGAGTATTTTCTATTGAAATAGATAAGTATATACTAGACAAAAAAAGACAACAAAAACTAATCTGTCTCTTACAAAACAATGCTTTCCTCTGTGAGTCTTTATGCTGTGTATTTGTGTTCAAAGTAAATGCAATCCTACCCTGATATAAATGGTAACTGACTCCAGTCACTCACTGTTATCCACTGGAGCTATTCAAGAGTTATCCACTGTCAGAATGGTGACTTTAGAGTGGGATTTGCTTAGATTTCAGAAGAATTAAACTGAGTTTATTCAATTATTTTTCATTGTCAAAAGCTGTGTTTCTCTATATTATCTACTTTATTCAGTCTTTACATAGGTAGCACAATAACTGTAAAAGTAACCATGCTTTCTAATTGAGGTTTGGTTTTTTTTCTTTCTCTTTTTTCCTTCTAATTAGAGTCTGTGTATATTTACACCACCAGGAGCTAAAGAAGGACAACCACGACTCATTCCTGCAGGCCCCATTGCACATGGCACTACAGTATCTGCTTATGTAGCCAGATCCAGAAAAACGTTGTTAGTAGAAGATATTCTGGGGGTAAAAAGCTTTCTGTCTTTAATTAGATGAGTGCAGTATGTTCTTAGAATGAATGTTTTGATGCTGAAATGTTTATTGAGATGAATTTATGATAGGATTTACATCTGTCCTGCTATCAAGAAAATAAATTTGAGTTTGGATTAGCTGATGGAATAATTTAAGAATATTTCATTTATTTCTAAATATAAAGGGTTTTTTTGTTTGGGTTTTGGTTTGGGTTATTTTAACAGATAAGAGAAGTAATGGCACCATAGTCGCTCGGAGAGAAAAAAAACCTGCCAGCCAAAACTCCTGTCCTCCTGTTCTTGAAATACTAATCCCAAACAAGAAGACTTTCATATGGTCAATCAAAGTAATTTGATTTTAATGCAGGGCTCACACTCACAAGAATGTCAGTTAGAATTCTGGTTATTGGGCAGGATTTTTATCTCTGCATACTCTGAGGTAAAGCTAGAATGCTTGTAGTGTCAGTAGATCTATATGAAAGGTTCATTAATGTAACTGATATCAAAATTCAGGCCTTTATCTGTAACAGGAGTCAGAAGTTCCCAAGATGATATTCTCATAATTCTTGGCACTCTGTATGTCTGTCTTTTTTATTTTTTAAAAAAACTTCATTCTCTAGTTCCATCTATGCAATTGTATGAAGCTGGTATTTCAACTGTACTTTGTGAGAGCACTTCATGATTAGCTGGTTATAAGAACACCAAGGAACTTTACATTCTCTTATCTCTTCAGTGTTTCCTATCCTTACAAGTTCTGTCCAGAATAACAATCTTTGGATACTGTGGACAAAATTGGACATTGTTGTCTCTATTTTTAAAATTATTTGTTAAAAAGTGTATGACCTTTGTTGGGCAAACCTTGGCTAAAAATGAGATACCAGATGCCTAATGTGAGTACACTTAAACAGAGCCACAAAACCAAAATGCGGAAGCTGCTCTCCCTGTAGTATCAGTCCGTGCTTTCTGTACACCCTGGACTATAAAGATTTTATGTGTTGGTATGTTTTTTCAGTCACATAGGGTTTAAATTCTTACTGGCAATTTCCAATAATATCATTATATCCTTGTATAAAAAGGTTATATGTTTTGTTTTGATTTTACATTCATAATAAAATCAGGGGGGTTAGCGAGGAGGAGTTTTGAACTTTTTTGTTGGTTTAATATCAGTGGATCATTGACCAAACAGGAAGGTTCATTTTGGTGACATTGTTTGCCTTCATGTGATTTTAGGAGCTTCTCAACAGCAGGAGGGAAGCCAATGCAGGTAGACTTGCCAGCCCTTTTTTGTGGGAGGACAGAATTAAAATGTGGAAGCAGAAGGCTCCTGTTTGAAAGTGCTTCCCACTCTTGTCTTTCATTTGTTCAAATTGATTGTCATCTTAGTAATTAAGGCAGAGATTGCTTGCTGTTTTCTTTGAGAAATGAGAGATTTTGATTGGCCTTGAAAGGGTCTTGCCTAAGCACAGCCTGCAGAGAACATCTGGTATGAATCAAGTACTGAAGGACTGATGTGCAAAGAAGTGGGTCTTGCGTACGTAACACCGACTAGTTATTGCCTCACTAACTGTAACATTCACGTCATTTCTAAGGTCTTTGTGAGTTTTCCTACATGGCAAAGTGAAGCTATAAAGCCTTAGACATTCCCTATATAGACTGAAAGTTATGTATTTGGGCCTTTTGTAGCAGCTGGTAGGATTACTGTGATATTTGTTTCTGTAACTTTTGCACTGGTTTATTCAGGATGTGTAAACATAATTTTTTTTAACATAATTTTTTGGGAACACATTTTCCTCCTAAGGAGTTGGTTCAGGATTATAACTGTATAAACTAAAGCCTTAATCTCAGGTTTCAATTTTTGTTCTCTTGCAAGCACTGCTGTCTGCTCAGTAACACTGAAATGTGAGCAGTCCACTTTGTGATTACAAATACTTTGGGGTTTTTCAGGAGGAAAGGTGGTGATGGGGTAGAGTTGTTTGTTTGGGTTTTTATTTAATCTGGACTGGCATTAGCAATAAAGTACTGGCTTTGCTGTCTATGAAGTTAGAGAAAAAAGAATTATAAAAAGAAGGTATAATATCACAGCTAACTCTGACTTTACATCAATAAGGTTATCAGTACGTCTAAATTAATGCCGAGACTTTTAAATTGCATTTTTTTTGTAGATGTCTTAATACTATGTGTAAGTTATGCTGAAAGATCAGGGGTTTTAAATTTTTATTTTTTTTATAATTTTCCTGCAGATTTGATCAGCCAGGTGGCAGAGGAAAACATCAGTATGTCTTTCCTGTGATTGTTATGATATTTACATTTTATCAGATTATGTTTATGTTTTCTAGGATGAGCGATTTCCCAAAGGTACTGGACTGGAATCAGGGACCCGTATCCAATCTGTTCTGTGTTTGCCAATTGTCACTGCAATTGGTGACCTGATTGGTATCCTGGAGCTTTACCGTCACTGGGGCAAAGAAGCCTTCCACCATAGTCACCAAGAGGTGAGCTCATGCGGAGTCTTTACCCACTTCCCCATGATGGTCAGCACTTCTCCACCCCAAACTTCCTCCGCTCATTCTCTCATGTGTTTTTACCTTTTTCGTGATTGATTTTTGTTCTTATTGAAAAAAAAAGTAGGTAGTGATTTATATTTTCAGTCAGAGCAGGTAAAATATACAAGTACAAGGCATATAAAGAATTTTACCTTGTTTTCTTTTGTGGAAAAACAGATTCAAGATTTCTCTACTGATTATAAACTCTGTAATACAGAGTTATTAGAGAAATCAGTGCAGAGCAGGTGAATGAAATGTAAGTGTAAATCAAATGAAAAAAACCAAAATCACTTTATAAATAAAAAAAAGAAGTGCTGAGTTACCCTGAGTCTCAACTTCAGCTCTCCAGTAAAGTTTTATTTTACTGTATGGTAAGATTTTAAAATTTATTTCAGTTTTCTTTTTTGGTGTGACTTCTTAAGGAACGACTATAATATTGCAACATTGTAGCAACAGTATAGGAAGTCTCAGTGGGGGGTCTCACAGGAGGGGAAAGTGATTTTTTTTAGAAAACAAAAGTGAAGCAAAAGAAATTTCTGGTATTTTTCACTCCCATTCTTACATCCATACACTCTCGGGCAACCAAGATGTGTGTGTCTAGGTGGTATTTCCACAAGTCATGCACAGAGACACGGGTATCCAGGTAGTCCCTACAGAATTCTTTGCAACAGGAGGACAAGGGATGCTGTCTTCTGAGCCCTTATGTCTCCTGGTTTCTCTCTAGGATGACAACCAAGGTTTTGGGCCAGCCTTTTCTTTAGCCTATAGGAGTTGATAGCTTTTATTTCTCTAGCCTGTCCCATCTCTGCGAGTTGTCAAGATTTACTCACACTTTGTCTCCTGACTTAGATGTCCTTAGAAACTGTGTGTAGAAGTGCTGGTACCTAGATGACCTGTCAATCTATGTGCCACTTGTAAAGCTTTCTTCTGCATTTTGTTTCTCTTGTGATGCTTCCCCATCCAGATATTCCCGTTCATAACCATCTTCCCCTTTCCATGACTGTTCTACATGCTTTATTGTATTAATGTAAGGCCTGTGTAGCTACGTTGTCCATACATGTCCATTTGTCAATCCAAAGTTATGAGTTGTTAGCCAAATACAAATGAATTTGAAAATGGAGCAGATGATGTAAAGGCTATCGCTTTATTAAACACATTAGAACTGCATCTCAGCTCTCATGTCTGGGTGAGGATCCTTGTTATGTCCCATCTAAACATTAAGATGTCTCTCGTGTAAAGGTGTTATGTACCATTTGTTTCTCTCTGTACCCTCCCCCAGGGAAGAGGCTCTGAACACAGAGGTTAGGACAAAACAGAGTGAATTCTAGCCAGGTGTGTTGTCTCCATAGTGGTCGAGATGCAGTATGGAGGAGTTTAGCTCTACTGAACAGGAACTGTTTGTGTGAAAAAGACAGAAATATGCAGGCAAGATACACTAAAACTAGTCCTCCCAAAGAAGGAAAACAACAGCAATACTTGTTAATTGTATATTTTGTTTATCAGTAAGCTAAGTAGCCTAGCATTCATTTGATGCTTATATATGTATTAGTTGGGCAGTCAGTGTTGCTTCAGGTTGGTGTCACATCTTGTGTTTTTTCACCAGTAGGTAGAGGTTGTGCTAGAGGCTGGATTAGTATGGTGGCACCAGTGTCCTTGCTCAGAGAATAAAGAAGAGACATTCATGCAAAACCAGGCTTCATTAATTCTACTGCTTGCACGCAATGTATTTATTTTTTAAAATTTTCCTGTTACATTAATCAATTCAGATAGGTCTCAGACATGCATTGTTCTGTGAAAATATGAATATTTTATGTTATACGAAATACCTTCTGTATTCAAATACTGAAGTTCATGAATGTTCTACTTGGAACTGGCTGCTACATAAGGGTATTTTATTACTAAATTAAAAATATTTTAAGGTCACTTTCTGAGTGTTCTAAAGCATTCTTTTCATTTTCAGGTTTCACAAAGCCTTTGGATACTATTAGCAGTTTTTATAAAATATGTACTAAGTGTTCTGTTTAAAAATATAAAATTATAAAAAAGTACCTTAGGAGGGTATGCAGAAGCTGACCTTCTGTATTTCTGTTCTCTGTGTTCCTATAAAGCTCCTGTGTTTCAAGGACAGGAGATTATGCATGGTAGCACATCATAGTTAACTGCAGTTTACATGACATTTGTTTGAAATGTTGCCTGGAAACTGTCATACTTAAAACACTAGTCTTGAGCTGAGGGATCAGGTCTGGTTCTTCTGCCACCAAAACTGTAATGAGAGATACAGTGCCTGTTTAGAGCTGGAAGTAGCTATTGCTGAAGAGATACAGACCCAGAAAGCTGTTAAGGGATATTTAATTTCTGTGGCAGATGCTTTTCAACAGTGTAATTTTTAAAGCATTTGGCTTATGGGATGTTTGTTTCAATGTTGTGTTTTTGAGCTGATGGGTTCCCAATCCTGCTTCTGAAGAGCATTGGTAAGCTCTAAAATTGACACACTTGCAAGCATACTGAGATTTTTCACAAAATAACTGTCTTCCCACAAATTGTTACTGCCTGCCTGTCTAAAACAGCTCAGTCAATTTACATCACAGCTAGACAGAGAAAACCAGCATGTACCCGATGTGCAGTTTTCAAGGTTACTTCAGAGCTAATTACTTCTCTTTTGTTGCAGGTTGCAACAGCAAATCTTGCATGGGCTTCAGTAGCAATACATCAAGTCCAAGTAAGTGTGAGTGGTTTTTCATTTTTTCATTGTGTATCCCGTCTGCCAGAATTTGATTATTAGCAACATGGATTGTGATCCAATTTTAGTGGAGATCACTGCTAAAACATTGATTCAAGCACCTTTCCTGAATCTGGGAAAAGTATGCTAACATTTTTGATATTCATTGAGCTAGATTCCCTCACTTGCAATTATGCTTAAATTATTAAACGGTATTTGTACTAAAGTAGAGAAATTTTAACAAAGTAGGTGAATACTGGTTAAAGAAGATTTATAACAAATTTGCAGGGTTTTTTTCCTTCTAAGAATACAACTGCTAGACTAACTGTTTGCTTTCCTTCTGCTTTGGTATTCAGTTTAAAATTATTAGGTGTTGCTGGAAAAGCCTATTTTAAGCCACCCTCGCTAGCTGCTTCATAGTCCTGTAACTACTGCCACTAAGGATGCTTCATGCTGTCCCTAGCTGGGTGCCTAATGGAGCTTCACACAGCGTCAAAGCTGCTCTAGCAAACCCCAGCAGCTTTGCTAATAGGTTTTGTTACTCCAGCTAGCAGAAGATGGTAACACTGAAACTAAACATATTCTGTCAACTCAGGGAAGATGCTAAAATAGATTCTTCCATCAACTCACAGGAGGAAGTTCGTGACATTCTTTTTTTCAAGGTGTCTTTCATACAGTTGTTGGAAGACTTGCAGAAAGCTTCCTGCTTTTCTTTTCTAGATTTTAATGTTTGCTGCCTTGGTGCTGAAAGTCACTGATTTTGGGATGGTCATTCACATTTAGGCAGCATTAGTTGGCATAGACTGTTGTATGCTAGTAGAATTGCAATTACATGCGGTTGTAGCTTTAGATTGTAAGAATGACTCTTCACTTAACTGAGAAGTCTTTCACACCTAACAAAACACCACATGGAAAGTTTAATTTAAGCTTGTCCATTGATCATTTTCATTTCTCTGCCTTCTTCTAAGCAGAAGGCTTGCCCTTCCCAAGTTTTTTGCATGAGAAAAATGCAAGAGTTTTGATCTGGTATTTTATATCTGTATTACACAGATGAAAGATATTACTAGTTCTAAGTGGTATTATTTTTATATGTACAAATAGAGGCTTGTTTTCTTTTCTTGGCCTCAGTGCTTGCTCTAGTAATATACAGATGTACAATTGTACTTCAGGTACACAGTATGCAACTAGATGAAGTAAAAATGCAGTTGAAAGCTTTGCTTCATCTAACATTTTTCTTCTAAAAAGTAGTATGCATACTACTTTTGTGTTCTTATTCATATTCATGCTGATTTCTCCCAAAGTTGAGCATGTATCATCTGCTGCTTAGCTTAGTTAAACTTGCCTGACGTCACTCTATAGTTGTGTCTACATGCTACTTTGCAGCCTGGAAAAAAGTGGTAAAAGTGTGGTGAGAAAGGAAGGAAACAAAATATTTGACAATCTCAGAAGAGCTGAGGGTCTGGATAAGGAGATGATGTTGATTCCATAACCACTTTCAGTGACAGCCTTTGAAGCAGCATGAGCAAGTGTAACAACCAACAGCTTTCAAGAATTCTTAAGAAAGAATTTACTTTCACTTGAGAGTTTTAACTGAGGAGCTAGATAGCTAAGATTGAAACCCAGTACACAGATTGAGCTTTTAATTATGTACAATACAGTAACATATACATATATATGTACTAGTAGGGGTATTTTTTTCCATACAAATTAAATGGATTAAGTTTCCCACTGACATCAGTGTTCTGGTAAAAATGATTCTATGATCTGTGCTTCCAGGTGTGCCGGGGCCTCGCCAAGCAGACTGAACTGAATGACTTCTTGCTTGATGTATCAAAGTAAGTGTGATTTGCATCTCATGAGTTTATTTTGATGACGTTTTCTACCTTGGCTCTTACCACCTACCTGTGTTTGAAAAACTTAAACACAAGGAAAAGAACAAATGATATGGATTGCAAGGTGTATAGCTTTCAAACTTCTTTTTTTGGTGATGGTGCAGAAGAAAATGTGACATTCAATTATACCTTGCAGAGATTGTTTATTCTTGTGGTCTTTTGCTTGGGTTTTTTTTTGCCTTTTTTTCACCTCTTCTGTCAGAGTTAAACATATCATATCTTTTGAGAAGTGACAAATAGGCTTGGCATCTCTTTTCATGCCAGTTTTAGAAGGCTTGAAAGGACTTTACGAAAAGTTAGTTAGCATGCTTCAGCTTTCCCTCTCCCCCTCCCCTGTAAAATTTTGTGTGTATACACATGTATGCATAAATATAGGGACTTCAGGGTTAAATCCTTGAAGAATAAGGGCTGCCATTGTTCTTTCCCTGCATTGTCTGAAGGCTCTGTTTTTACTTTTAAGGACTGCAACTGCATGTAATATGTTTGCTTTTAATTTCTTGTGACAATAAGGGCAAGATTAAATTGAAAACACAGTAAGAGTGTGGAAGCTTGGGCTTGCACTTGCAAGTTTAGTATCTTAGGTGATCTGATTTTCCTTCATCCCTTTTTGTTTGGCACTGCTATTAGGATCTTTAAATAGCAAAAATAGCTAATAAATTAAAAGACAAACCAGATTTGTACTTTTAGTAAATCACAGTCTGGGATGCTTAACAGTGTTTTATGAAACTAGTTGGTAGAAGAATTTCTAAGTGCATGACAAAGTACTGATGATACTGTGGAAAAATGAGATGTCTTGAATTTTTTCTACAAACACTTCTATGGGTCTTGATGAACAATTCTCAAACTGATGAGATTAGAGGATGTCCAAGATTCCTATGCCATTGCTCAGGAATGTAGGCAGCCAAGCTGACCCAACTGGAATAGGGAGTGATACACCGCATGGAGGAGTCTGCCCCTTGCAAGGAGGGCAAGCTGGTTGTGTCCAGATGTTTTTCCTTGCTTTTTTCCTCAGGAAGACATTTTTTGTTGGTTTGTTTTGTTTTGTTTTTTTTTTTAATTTCAGCATAATTCAGAGTGTGTTTCCTAAAGGGCACACTTACTGAGTCTTGCACCGTTATGTTCCTTTCCATAGTACTTTTATGTTGGTAACATCCATACTGAGCTAATTTACCAGAAATCTCTGGATGAATCTACCCAGATTTATGGATTGGCAATTTATTCTTGGACTGGTATAATACTAAGATTATTTTAAAAAACTTTTTAATTGTTTTAAATTTTTAAGATAAAAATGACAATAAATATTGCAAGTATTTATTATGCCTTTCTATAAGAAAATATTTCTCATGCAGACGTATTCATCAATTGCTAGAATTTTTATTTTTAACAAAAAAAAGGTCTGTGTCTTGAAACACAAAATCGAGATATCATTTAATAATAACTTTATGAACTTTATGTAGGTAGGGACATACTAGCAGGAAAATAATTAGTTTCCTCTTAGAAGTTGTCTGTACCTTTTCTTACATGGGAAGAGGGTTTCAGTGAGGAGATTGTTAGTGTGCAATGTCACTGGGACATGTTCTGTAACATTTTAGAAAGGGCAGAGTATGCAGTGCTCCACGTCTTCATGTCCCTGACAACGTAAGACTAGCGTATTATGTATTTTCTTTCCACTAGACCCAAACAGAACTGAGCTGTATATATATTCAAGGCCATGGGACAATGCCTGTCTCTCTTCTGGGAACATTGTAATCCGAGGGTTATTAAGAATTGGCATGCGGAAGATTTAAACTTCTTTTACTAATAAGTTTGACCTTTATCTTTCAAATGTTCTTGACTGTCCTTGAACAGTTACCACTTTGCTGTGAAACTGAGTTTCCTTCTTATTTTTTAAGTTACAAGATCATCCTCTTTCTTCAACTTCAACATGCTGCACATGGGTTGATATAGAAGATTCACTGAGTTTTTTAAATTGTTGCCTTTTAAATAGTGTTAAGGGTTGGATAGTATGAGGTGGATTTAGCTACACTATGTAGTTTTATTCAGTTCTCAGTATATAACGTGGGTAAACCGAACGAGATATTTTAATATTTTGAAAGCAATGGATTTTTTAAAATCTATCCACTGCTTTTCTTTTCCTTTTTCCTTTTGCTTTTAAAATTTTCATTGTGTCAGAGGTGCCAAAGCACTGTGATATGTTCTTGGTGTTGCTCTGCAGGGGCCTATTCAGTTCGTGGTAGGCAAGGTTTGGTAGTCTTTTCTTTTTTTTACAGAGAAAATTCTATGTATAATGAAGAATATTCTACAATTCTGTCACTGTAGAATAACAGTTTAAAGAAACAGAACTAGGACCATTTCTTAATTCCTTTGTGCTGTAGCGAGCCAGTCGGTAATTTTCAAGGTGCAGTGCTTTTTCCTCACTTATTCTGGTTCCACTATTAAGCCAGAGTGAAACAAGAGCCCATGACACCCATTTGAGAAGTGTTTGATTAAATGTGAATGTTTACTGACTTCTCTTTCTCTGCAGAACGTATTTTGATAATATAGTTGCAATAGATTCTCTACTTGAACATATAATGGTAAGTTGTCTTTTTCATTTCTAAGTTTCTTAGTCATAGTTAATAAAGTCCTTCATTGTCTTTTCCTTGAAGACATTATGTCACTGAAATATGTGAGCTGTTTGTAATGGACATATAATACAAACAGTATTAACATGTCTGTATGAAAAAGGTGGCGAAGGTCAGCTTCAGTTCACAGCTTTCATAAGTAATGAAACATGACTGTCTCTGAACTAAATAGTTACTATTGTGTTTCAGAGAAGATTTGAACATTGTAACAGAAAGACTTCTGGTTTTCTTTTTATTTCAGCTTGTTGTATTGATTCCTTCTTCCTAAATTCAATTTGCTACATGCTGCAAAGCACTGCTGAAGAAGTTACTGTCTGTAGCAAGTAGCAGAGGTCAAACATTACTCCTAGAGTATTTGTTCCAGTTGCTGAATGAGAGGTGTAAGACATCGCATCCCTTTGCTTTACAAAACAACACCCTTAGCTAGAGTGACAGTCAGTCAATGTTTTATAGAAACCACTAAAGCAAGTGCTTAGGTATTTCCATTGAAATAACTAATTAGTGAATTAAAGTACAGTTCAGAAGCAGATTATAATCAATTTTGAATTCAGAATTGTTTCCTGAATAGTATTTAGAAATGCATATTGACTGGTTGTTTGTAACACATTTTGAGTGTTTGATGTATGAATTATGCTTTTTAGCTTTAGGTACATTCATTGCATTCTTCAATTCTTTTTCCTAAGTGTAAACCTGAATCAGGTCTGTGATACCATTGTTTAAAGTTGTGTATTCAAAAATTAACTTTCCAACAGTATTCTGATACTTGCTCCAGTCTTCAAAGTGATATTTTTAGCTGGACTATTCAAAGACAACAAAGTTAGAATGCAAACAACATTGAAGTGGTTTTATTTAGAAACTTGAATTAGTAATGGAAAATATTCTGCAATGTTTGTCTTATTCTCGTTGGTACACAGTCAAGAAATCTGCACATAGGACACATTTCCGAACAGTGACTTTTCCAATTTAAATGAACTGCTTAGAAATAGCTTAACATTTAAAAGAACTGGTATAACATAACATATGGCTTTGAGAACAAATATTGATATTCTTCCCTGTTCTTCCCCATGATTAGCGATCTGGTGGAAAACACAATTGGCAGTAAAATATGCTTACTCTTTCATCATCTTTTCCAACACTTGACTGCATCATGATTCTTCATTTTAACCTGTGTGATGTTTCATACTGAGCTTCCTCTTAAGCTTTTATCTCTTTCTTGAACCAATAACTGAATTATGTGTTTGTACATTTATTGCCATTTTATGGGAGTATAATTTTATCATTATGTGGCTTGTTCTGTGTCTCACAATGAGAAAAGAGTGAAACGCAGTTTTACCTCACTACTTCACCCTTTGGTGATTGCACTTCTGGTTTGATTTGTTCCTGCAATAATAAAGAAATAAATATAGGGGTTTTTTCCCATTCTTTTTGGTTTTATTTTCATTAAAGTCTCCCAGTGAAGCTAATGGTATAATGGTGGTTTTGAATATAGATGTAAGGAGTTGCCTTAGAAAATTTCTTACCAATATGCTTGAAGTAAATGCAAGCAGCTTATGCAAAAGGTGATCCCTGACCTCCCTATTGACAGTGCAAAACATACTTTTTGTACTGATACTCCCCTTCAGCCAATGGCCTGGATTTGAGCTAGGGGTTTAGAGAAGTAAAACTCTCTCATCCCATTAACTATTTCTCTCAATTAGTAGTGCTTAAGCAATCATTTTTGAAAAGCATGAGTTGTGACAAAGGTACGTTCTTGAGTCATATGCATTAAAGCATAAAAGTTTAATTGTATAAAATCAACACTGGGCTGTTGTTTTTATAAAGAAATCTGATACAGTTTCTGAATATTGTAATATTGTAATACAATTTTAATAACAATATTAAATACAATACAATATTGTAATATTGTATTGTATTTACTGGATCTTTTGTCCTTTTTGTCAGTTTCTATTCACTCGCAGTCATGGTCTGAGTGGTTGAACTCTTTAGACTTCTTAATGCTCTAAGGGGGAAAAATTTCACAAATGTTACCTCTTAGATTGCAATCTCTCTGACTTTCTACTGCTCTGATGGAGTAAATGTAGTAGAAGACAACAGAATCTTTCCAGCCACAAATTCTGTTTGTATGGGAGGGCCCTGCAAGTTGGTCTAGATGGCTTCTGTGCCGTTCCCATTACACAGCTCCCATGACACAGAACTAGAGTCTCTCAATTAATTTTTATTATCTCGTTGGTGCTTTTTTTTCCTGCCAAGATCTATTTGCATTAATGTGAAATGAAATACTTTGTGGTTTTGGTTTTATTTTTGAAAGAGAAGAGGTGGGGGAGATCATTTGTGTGGAAGTCTTGTGAATCCCTAAGACATGTTATCTGCATGCATTGCACATCAAGATGTTGTCACCCTTTTTCTCTAGCTGAACGACTAGGTGGCTATTATATACAAAGCTGAGCAGGATCCACCTCAGATCACGCTCTACCATGCAGCTACTAAACATCATGAACAGATAAGAAACATAGGAGACCTACTGAATTGGGTAGAGCAGGTTCTTGAGCCTGCATATGGCATCTTATGTTAGCACAGTGATCCTTGTTTGATTTTGGTTTACTCTTTCCTCTTGTTCTCAGAAAGGCCATTGTATGTCTGAGAAATATTTCAGAGAAGAGCTACTGTGTTCCCAGGACAAGATTCTGTTCTGACACTCAGTGCTCCTGGCAGTTATTTTCACAAAGATAAAACTTGTTGTTTCAAAGTATGATAGAGACCAAAGCAATAGAGACAAGTCTATTGCTGTACTGTGGTACTTTCTTGACTATGGCTGGTACCTTGTGGCCTTGGTTAGTTAATGTAAAATTACTAAGCCTCAGCTTTTGCACAAATACTGTCCCTGGCATTAGGAGGGTGCAGGCATTTCGCATGGGAAATCCATACACAGGACAATCCATAATGACACTTCTAATCACAGAATCACAGAGTCACAGAATATTCTGAGTTGGAAGGGACTCACGAGGATCATTTATTCATTGTTATTTATTACAGGCATATTTAGCTTTTTTAGAAACAAACACTACCTTCTGTTTTACGTCTGTCTTTGCTAGATATTCAATACCAATACATTTGCACTGAAGATGAAGTCAAAAGCCAAAAGTGTTCTTAGGTCTTGGTATAACTTATCTATTTAAAATCAAGATGAATTGTATCAAAACATAGAAGGAGGAAAGGTACTATTTTGAAAAGCCTTCCTTGTACTTGAAAAATAATTTAATAGGAAAGCCTATTTTCTTTTAGCAAATATTCAAGTCTCTAAAGATATTCCTGCATTTCTCAAAGAGAATAACACTTTAATTTGAAAAACAATATCAAATAAGGCTTTAATTTTGAATTGTCTCCTCAAAGATTGCTCCTTTGAAGAGATTTCCATAGTGGATAATTTCTCAAAAATTTTATCTTGCAGTGAATGAGGTTTTTATCAGATAAATGACTGAAGATAATCTAACTCATGACCACTAACTCTATTTTCGTTTTTTGTCTGTAGATATATGCAAAAAACCTGGTGAATGCAGATAGGTGTGCACTCTTCCAGGTTGACCACAAAAATAAGGAGCTGTATTCAGACCTTTTTGATATTGGAGAAGAAAATGATGGAAAACCTGTCTTCAAGAAGACCAAAGAAATAAGGTAAGCATAGCTAGCAGAAGAATGCAGCTTCATTGTAACTACAGACATGCAGGCATTTTATTACCCAGTTTCTGTGCCTATCTGCAGGTACCCTGACAATACTTGTCATACTGTGATATCATTCCCACCAGGACCCGCCTCCAGAAGGTAGTACTTCTGGGAATGACATTGCAGTGCCATCGAAACAACGTCTCTGAAGCTATAACGTCACTCCTGGAAATGCCGTCTTCCGGAGGCGGTCCTTTTGGAAATCATGTTGGGAAAAAAACAGAGGTGTTCTGAGGTAGGTAAAGGTGCAGGTAATGGTGCACCTAATCCGTAGTCTGCCAGTTTGGGACTTTTTTCCCAAGAGGGCTCCCAAGAGAAATTGAAATTTGTGTGATTCAAGCACACCCAAAGCAAGGAAATCACAATTTGTACTTCTTATGGATGGACTAGACAAATGTAGAATGACATACGGACTGGTCATTGGTTTTGAAGATTTCAAGTTTAGTAATTTAGATTTACTTTTCTCATGTGAATTTAGATTATTTTGAAACTTTTAAAAAATTTTGATACTAAAGCATTATTGAAGTGGTGAATTTGAAAATGTATATGGCCCAGTAATGACTACACAGGATGTTCTGCCTAAAATTTATGCGTATTTCTGTTTCATGTCACAGTTATATAATTTTTAGACTTATGTACTTTTTAAAAGAAAGAAGAAAACCAAAGAAGTCAATATATCATTTTTCACTTTCAAAAATTATGAGTCCTTAATAGATACAGATCAATATTTTCAAAGGCACACAGGTTTCAAACCTGCAGCTTCTTAAAAGGAAAGAAGTGTATGACTAAATATTTTGCACTAAAATTTTGCTAAAATATTCAGCATGGATTTTATCAGAACTTTTTTCATTTCCTCCTTATACTTTTAAAGTTCTGGGCCAATATGAGATGTGATTCATGTTGTTGCTTAAACTGCTTTAGACAAACTTACTCCCACTTACTACTGTGTGAGTGAGAATGGAAGGAGTCAAAATTGGTGCAATTTGGGTACTGAGAAGCAAGCAAGTGCCGTAAATTAAAGAAGTTGACCTGCTCTAACATACACTTTCATGCTCCTTGATAATTGTTTTTATTGTTTATCTTTCTGTCTTTTCTGTATGCTATTGAAATGTTGATTCTGAGTGCAAAGGTGTGAACCATTTCACAGGTGCTGTATACTGAAAGTGGAGTGCAACTTAAATATCTGTAAGAAAGTGACACTGAGTCATCAGGAAGGAGTCTTAAGTTGGTGTGATGTACTTATCATAAAAAGCAACAGAAAATAAAGTCAGGTGTGCAGGGTGAAATCCTGATGGCTTTATCACTAACTTTGATGGGGACCAGGGTACTATCAGGGTACAGTTACATTCAAAGTGTTCCACATACGATTCTTTCTACATATTTTTACATATTTTTCTCCATAAATTCTGTTCTGTTTGTATTTAATAACTACTTTAGGTCAAAGAATTGAAAATTATTTCCTCACCAGACAGACCTGTAGATTTTTCTGATTCAACTCAGGAATATATTTGTTGTGTTTAACTTCCTTGTGGCGATTAAGGGATGCAGTTAGTATCATGGCATTGTTTCAGTATTATGAAACAAACTAGTTATTCCAAAGTCTACATGGCAAATGCATATAATCTTTACCTTTGAAATTTCCACTGATCTTTTTCCAAATTTTATTTTACCAAATCCACATACACACGCCACCTGAAGAAACAAGCTCCATGTTACCTGTGTTGTGTCTAGAGAAAAAATGAATATATAAAAGCGATAATAAAATCAATACCTTGTGAAGATAAACAGAAGTCTCAGATTCTGTACAAATGTTATGTTTATTAGGGATAACTCCCAGGATTATTGAAGATTTTGAATTTTTGTCACTAAAATGGTCATATAATAAAATGTTTTGTACTGAGCTATCTAGTTATATAAAATGTTTTCAGAAAGTATCTATTAGTTTGTGCTTTTTTATTTTATTATGTACTACTATTTGTTGTCTTGTAAGATTTTTCTCCCAAAAGCAACAAAATGGCTCTGGTTGGGAACAAATACCCATTACTGTGCCTGAGACAGACTCCACTGGAAAAATGTTTTTTTCAGGTAGCTCATATTGTGACTGATACACATTTTTATTTTCTCCAGATTTTCTATAGAAAAAGGAATAGCTGGTCAAGTCGCAAGAACAGGAGAAGTCCTTAACATCCCTGATGCCTATGCAGATCCACGCTTTAACAGGTAGGATATTGTTTGTGGGAGGGGAAGATAGCTCATCAAACCTCTTAGTTAAATTAACCACCTAAATTTCATATTCATAGGCATTCATGGAGCTGTGATTCTCTGGTGAGGAGGCAACCTGCTTTAGACATCATAGATATTTTTAAGATACAAATAAAAAGTATTATTTTTAACAAATATAAATATAATGGAGAAAAATTTATTTAGATTGTTGCCAACTTTCATTATTCATTTCCCTGTAATGTGATTAATTTCAGGGGAGAAAAACAGTTCACTAACAAATAGCATTCCTAAAAATATTTGAATGTTCTTTAAGTTTACGAAAAAGCTTACTCTATGTTTGAGGAAATATTTTTTTATCTTGCAAATGGAGATTAAAGGATTAAAAAGTTCTTTCTAAGTATGACACAGTAGATGGAAATATTTGAGGGCTTTGGAGGTGAAATTCTTGGATGCACAAATTGCAACTACTTTGAAACAATTCAGTATATTGTTCATCAACATTTCTGAGAATCAAGGAATAGATATTAATTAATAATACTAATTCTTTTCTCTTTTTCTTTCTCTTTTATGGCTTTTCAGAGAAGTAGACCTCTACACAGGGTACACAACCAGAAATATCCTGTGCATGCCTATTGTAAGCCGAGGAAGTGTAATAGGTGTTGTGCAGATGGTGAACAAAATAAGTGGAAGTGCCTTCTCTAAAACTGATGAGAACAACTTTAAAATGTTTGCCGTCTTTTGTGCTTTAGCCTTACACTGTGCTAATGTAAGTTTTATTTACAGTTTTTTAAGCTGTTAGTTATAATGGGAATACTTACGTGTTTTGGTGTTGCAGATTATTAAAATGATTCATAATCTGTTTCATTGAATTAACAAAAAAACAGGAATCATTGAATTCCTTGCTGAATAATTCTATTTTAAGAGGATGATAGAGATTCATTTGATCCTTTTTGAAATAAACATACTCTGGAAACATCAATTTTGAGTAGCTAAAGTGAGAGAGCAAGCTCCAAAATGTGAATGGTATCTGTCCTCTCTTTTCCTTTAGAAAGTATGATTCTTATTTACTTTTATAAGTTCAGATTACATGTTTTACAAATTTAACTTGGGGATGGAGTTGCTATGTATTCTGTCAATTCCATATGCTTAATACTCAGAGATCAATTTATACCTTTATGTGCTATGGTATATACTCATAATTATCCATGCTTCTAGAGAAGAGTGGATAGCTTTTTTTGTCCTCAAACTCTTTACCCTCTCAAAAATTACTATTCCTGTAGGATACATAAACATTTAGTGATCATTAATATATAAGTATAAAAATACAATAAATTCAATAAAAATGCAATGCAGAAAAACTCTGTGTATTCATGGGAGGTACGATACTATGCAATGCCAGTTAAGCCTGGTGATTTACATTAAGTGATTTTACCAGCATCGTGTTGTTGGTACACTGGGGGAGAAAATTTTATTAACGGTTACTTTAAGTTGTTTCATACGGCTCAGTGCAAGTAGAAGGGCCTGCATATAAATTACACTTCGTACTTTGCAATCACTCAATTCTGTGTGAGTTCACTCTTTTCAGATGGTGAATGTTACTGTTCAGGACATACTGCTCCAGAGGATTGTTTTAGTAGTAACTTATGTCCTCACTTGTTTACTAACCATGCCATGTCTGCAATAACTCTCTGAACATCTCAATAATTAACTGTACTTATTTTTCATATTGAATAATAATGTAGGTATGATAAATATCTCACATACTTTTTACTGTGCACAGGTAGCAGTAATTTGTACCAATTAATAGCTGAATTCATGCAGTGGCAGAAAATATGAATTGTGTCCTGTTACTGTTTTTTTTCTGTTAGCATTTTGCAAGGGAATTAGCTCTGTTTCTGACTCCTGGACTTGGATTCTCTTTCTTGGGAGAGCTCACATGCAGTGGAACGTCAGCTGAGCCTTAGATGTTTACCCAAATGAGCAGATGCAGAATGATGCGATAGAAGGCCTAGTTTTCCAGAAGTACTGAATTTCATGTAATCTGTCACTTCTCTAATGTGTGAAGTTGTGCAGCCAAAAGCACTAACATTTTTGCAGATGTGTATTTTAATAATCGGTGCTTGAATACAGGAATTTTTTTTCCTTTATTAAAATTTCACATTCATAAATGACTTCCCTTTTTCAGATGTACCACAGAATTCGTCATTCAGAGTGTATTTACCGTGTAACAATGGAGAAGCTGTCCTACCATAGTGTTTGTACAGCAGAAGAGTGGCAAAACCTCATGCACTGTACACTGCCTCCACATATTTATAAAGAAATCGAGCTGTAAGTATTTTTCTTATATAGCAACAATTGTATCTTGCATCAGTCTGGTAAAAAGACAGGGTTGTTTTCCTCTTTGTAGTGGAGTGTTTTGTAGGAAGCACTTTTATTATTGAACTATCACAATATCATGGGGGTTTATCTCTGGCTTTCTTAGTTATACTTAATGACCTGTGAACAAAATTTGTCTTTCAAAAGTATAAAATAATACCTACTCAGAATTGTAGCATATTCCACAGGCATGGGCAGGTACAATAGTTGCTTTAATCATTAGTTGTTATCTAGGATTTTAGAACTGAGCTTTCATTCTGATAGTCCCAAGTCACGGTCAGCTCAGAGCCAGAGAGCAGGCTGAGGATGAACATGGACCAAATGCATGATGTCATTCCCTTGGGTATGTTTTAGAATAAAACCTGTGCATCCTAGCTTGTTCCTAGGATGTTCTGGGTTGTGTGTTTTTGGGGTTTGGGTTGGGGGTTGGTGTAGGAGATGTTTGGTTTTTTGTGAGTTTTGAGTATGTATGTGTGTGTACATCTGCTTGTACTTCTTGAAGGAGGAGAAAATGATAATTCAGAATTATGAATCCCAAGTGCTAGAGTTTAGAGTTGCAGCCTAAATTTAGAGGAGGACTTTCCATCCAGTCTCTTAGGCTTTCTCTGATATAATTCAGTTATTTTCGGCTCTCCAGTATCTGTTGTGTGCTGAAGATGTACCTCTATTTGTATTTTATTAGTCAATGCCAACTCAATGTAACAATGCAAGTCATCGTATTTTTTAGTCAGTCTTTCTGGTCCAGGACAGTGTGCAAGTTTCGAGCTGGCTTCCTGCCAAGTCTCCGAAACTTGACAACAGGGTCTGCTTCCCAGAGAGGGAAGAAAAAAAACCAAGCAACCAAAGTTCTAGCAAATTCTACTCTAGTGACAAGGTGCCTAAAATCAGCTACAGAGTCACAAAATCTAAGTTGCCTTTGTAAATCTAATCTCCAGACTTGTTCACTTGTGTTCAGCACTGAGCATTGTAGCTGTAAGCGAACAAAGCATGCGAGCCTGTGCTTAACAGGGAATGCTTATAGTTAAAGTTCATTACATGCTGAAGTGATTTACTTGAATGCCAGAGTATTAGCAGCTTGCAGGATTACACCCTAATAAAAGCTTATTCTTTGCAATACAATTTCTTGTGCTTTGTTAGGTGATATTATATAACCCACCTCCTCATAAAAAATGAATTTTACTTGTAAAGATGACAGGTTTCATTCTAAATTATATTAGCATCCTCTAGTTCAAGCAATCTGAATACATTTAAGCATTTTCGAAGCAATTCAGCTACCTTCAGCTGTCTCACACCTGCTGTGCTGTTCATTATGACACATTACAAGCAAGTGGTTAGCTGAGTTCCAGGGAGAGGAAATAGAGGACTTGAAGCACAGAAGGCACAGGGAATGGGTTAATAAATAGAAGGACAAACAGTTCTGCTGTCCCAAGTCCCTAATATTAGGCCTAAATACTGATATCAGGAGACGGGAGAAGTCTTCAGCTGATGAAACATAAAAAATATGTTATAAATGTTTAATTTTTTAAGTTTCATTTTGATTTCTGTTAGCCAGTAAAACTGATTTTTTCCCAAAATTAAAGCAAGTCTCACACAACTTGTGACAGAAATTATTGAAAAAGAAGGCCAGTAAATATATGATTGGAGACACCATGTTTACAATTCCTGGGAGAAAAGACTGAAATGCTTTAGGAGGGCCTGTAAAGCCCTCATCATCCCTGAGATTTTTTTGTCTATTACTTAAAAAATGGATCCCTAAATAAAGATATATATTTCTGTTAACTAAACAAAACCAAAGGCTAACAGTTGGGCGCTATCATAAGGGTATTTTCCAACCTAAATGATTAAATGATTCTATGATCCTATGAGCGTAGTTCCATTGACCGTAGCAGAAATATATAACTTAATGTTACTGGAAAATACAGCCTGTAAATTCAGTTTTCTGTGTGTATTCAGAAACAAGTGAAAGTTGCTGCATATGCATTACCTAGTCATTTTCACCTGCTTTTAGTAAGAATATAAAGGTGTTTGTCTTTACTAAGCTGAAACTTTCTTCTTAGATACCATTTTGATATCAGTCCATATGAGGATGTCTGGCCTGCCATTTTTGTCTACATGGTTCACCAGTCCTGTGGGACAGCCTGGTATGAAGTATATGATCTATTGCTTAAATTGTGTAATTTCTGTGGGGGTTTATTTATTAATAAATTTTGATATAACTATTTTCTAATTAAAGGTCTATTTTCTTTGACATTTATTTACTATGTGTATTCTGTACAGGGATGTAATAAGCAAGCTGGATTTCCTATCCCAGCTTCTTGGTCTTCAGTTAATAAAATCTGTGAACAGTCAGGTTAAAGAACTCATGATATCATCCAAACAGTCGTCCTTCCAATATATAGAAGCATTGTTTGGTTCTGAGCTGATATTGTTTTTCAGACAGAAGATGGTGAAGATATTAAAGGCATTCTTGCCAAAAAGGAGAGAAGGATTGTGAACACAGATTTTTCAATTATATAGTTGCTGAAATTAATAGAGTATATGGTAAAAATAAACCAAGGTTAGATCTTATCTTGCTAAATAAATGAGTTATTTGCATAGTTGTGCATTAATTATCGAAGTGAAATATTTTCAAATGAAATGATTAATTTATTGGCCTTTCTCTCAGTGTCCATTATCAAGATCAACAGTCTCTTGGCTAAGTATTTCCCATTGCTGAAAGAAAGGAACTACTCCGAATTATGGAAAAAAATCTGTAGGTGGTCAATTGAAAGGGGAAGTATCTCCCTACAAAAGGGAGCAACATTTGGGAAACATTTGCTGGTGCTTCATTTTATCTTACTAACTGGGTGGGTCTTTCTGTCTTCCGCAATGCTGCAAAGTTGGTGACTGTTCTAAATACAGTTCTCTCCTGCTCGGTGTAGTTAGATTGTTTCCATTACTGACTGAATGGCTGTGGATGCAGGATTGGGGCTCAGATTTTCAGCCAGGTTCTGTTCTCTTCCCTCTCTGACTCCCAGTCTCTTCCTTTCAAAGTGTGACTTCAATGAGAAAGAATTGATATCTACTTGATGTTTTTCAAATGAGTCTCAGCTTTCACATATAAAGTTAAAGAAACAAAAATGAGGAAAATATTTGAAAAAGAGGCTGTTGGGACTGGACTTGTATTTAATTTCTGAAAGAACAAAACTTCTCAACCCTTTGAAATAAATACAGATATTTTAAGGCTAAAATTTCCTTTTTGGTATATTGAGGAGTAAGGTTGTGCCTGTACGTATTTACCTATAAAAGGTACAATTGTCCTGTCCAGAGAGGATTTCAGACAAAAGTCTATAATACTCACTACATTTTCTTTGCTCCTCTGAAGAAATAATATTTTACTGCTTCAGTTACGTATACAAAATACAGCATCAGAGGAAGTAATAGTGTTCTATGTTGAAGCATCATTGATAATGGTTTTCCCTTTAGCTATAACTGTACTATTATGTAATAACCATTGAATTGATATTGGATGTAAATGAAAGTTACTATTGTGATATTCTGAATTATGATGTACTACTTTAAACAATAGTTCTATGAATTGTTCTAGAGCTTCTGACTTTCTAGAATTAAAAAAAGAAAGCCTAAAGCTTTTTGAAAGACAATATGCCTCCGGTTTTACTCATGTCTGACTAAGGATAAGAATAATAATGACCTTGCTCAGCATACAGCTATAGAAATATGTATTTCTATAGAATTGGCTCCACGCAGTATATATGTCTACATTTTTAAGTATAGCTCAGAGATATTCAACTTTTTTTTTCTCAGCTCACATGTACTGCAAAACTACAATATTAGTACCACTTTTCTGATATACCCAAGATATTATCAAAACATGGAACATAAAAGGAAGTCAAATCCCAGTAACAGGGGAAAAAATGAGAGTAAGGGAAAACTGATCTTTTTATGAGATGAAAAGTCAATGATCTGGGACTCTGGCACCTGCGGTTCAATTCTGGACTCAAGTTTAATTTTCCTTTTTCACCCCAGGCTGCTCAGATGAGGTACTTTAGAAAATATTACCTGATACCTAATCTGTGCCTGAATTTCCTGTCTGTAAACAAAAAGTATTTAGCTTTCCTTTCAAAGGAACATTGGTAGATGAAGTCTAGTAAAGGCTGTGGAGAACTCTGGCGCTAAATGTGAACTCTCTCAAAGGTGTTATTGATGAGCACATAAGCCAAACATAACAAAAACTTTATTACTTTTTATTATTACCTTAGTGAAAACACTCTTGTTCCTAAATTAATTTTCTTTGCCTGCATTAAAAGCAAAAGTATATCAGAAAATCTTGTAAGAAATAATCCCCTAATTGCTATAGTTTTAGGGCATTTACATGGTTGACTGGCAGTTACTTAGCAAAATGTTTTTTGGTGGGAAGTGAATTAACAATGAAATGTGAATTTCAGTTCTGCTTGTCCAAACTGGAAAAAAAACCCCTAAAAGTATCAGAAAAAGAATATCTTTCTTTTTTCACAACTTCAACAGTGGAGCATTTCTATTTAAACAGGTTGATTTCTTTTGTGTCCTTTGCTTAAAAAGCCCTGAATTTTCTGTTTTGATCACTACTGAAAGAAATTACACTTCAAGTTTCTGTGAGCAGGGAAGGTTATGCAATTGCGTTGACTGAGCTGGGTAGCATGACTTATGTTCCTGAACAGATTAAACTGAGACCATTGTTAGGTATCCACACTCAAGGAGACTCAGGGAAGACATCATCACCCTCTACAACTACCCAAAAGGAAGTTGTAGCCAGGTGGGGGTCGGTCTCTTCTCCCAGGCAACCAGCAGTAGGACAAGAGGGCATGATCTTAAGCTGTGCCAGGAGAGGTTTAGGTTGAATATTAAGAAGAAATTTTTTACAGAGAGAGTAATCAGACACTGGAATGGGCTGCCCAGGGAGGTGGTGGATTCACCATCCCTTGAGGTTTTTAAGATGACACTGGATGTGGCACTTAGTGCTGTGGTCTAAACGGCAGTGTTGGATCAAGGGTTGGACTTGATGATCTTGGAGGTCTTTTCCAACCCGGTTGATTCTATGATTCTGTGATTCTATGAATGACTCTTCACGTCATTCAATAAGTCATCCACAGTGAGAGTCAATCCTAGCAAGAAAAGTAAATCGAAGAGCATCTTTTCTCCTCTGTTGGTTATTTTTCCTGTTCTTATCTCTTGTCTCTGACCAAATTAATTTCTTCCTAGCTTTGAACTTGAAAAGCTGTGCCGATTTACTATGTCTGTAAAGAAGAATTATCGCCGTGTGCCCTACCACAACTGGAAGCATGCAGTTACCGTTGCACATTGCATGTATGCCATACTACAGAACAACCAGGGGCTTTTCACTGATCTAGAGGTAGGTGACAGGATGGTATCAGTTACTACACCTCATCAGAGCTATCAGCTCTCGTACAAGTACATTTTCTAAGCTGGAGTTTTGTTGTTGGCTTGGGCAGAGTGTATGTCAGGGTCCCCATAGAAGAATGGATGTGAGTAGAGAGGTTGAGGAAGGACAATTAATCAGATTCCTAATTCTAGACATATTTTTCATGTCTACTCCTGAAAAAGCCATGGCAGATTTGCTGTAAGTCCATGTCCAAGTTTTGAGGTTGTCCCTGCACACTTACAACCACAGTCTTTAATAATTAAACTAAGTGTTGGATCTGTTCTGAGGGAGGGAAACACTCTGGATATTGGATCCTTTGGAGTCTGGGAGATCCTGAATAGGAAGACAAGGGTTGCAAAGATGGTTGATGTATGTGAGTAAAGGGTTGCAAAGATGGTTGATGTATGTGAGTAAATTAAATCACTAACTGGAAAAGATATAATAATAAAATGGAAGGCTTAGGATGTTAATACACAGTATAAAGACCTGTCACTTGTTTTTCTTCTGATTTATGGTAAGTACAACTGGGAGTGCTGTCTCTTAGTAATGTTACATGAAACTTCTGACTGGGAGAACCTGTTTTCAGTTGTGTATAACTCTGACAAATACTAGTCTTTTGGGCTGTAATTTTCCAAGCTCTGTTAACTTCCTTAAGCTGATTCATTTGGGGAAATTTCAGTCAAAATTGTTTGGCTCTTTTAAGGAAACGTGCTAGTAGAAATCAAGGTTTGGTTCAGTGTATAAGAATAAAACTAAATTTGGTGATCTTTCACTTGAAAAGGGCTTCTTTATCCTGCTGTAAATCAGGGACTTAAAGATTGACACAAATATGAAAATGGCATTTGCCGGGCATATGCTGAAAGTTGGCAAAGCTATACAAGTTTGAAAAAAAAATCAGCATTCTTTTAACAACAAAATCTGTGAAGGGGAGCCTCAGGCAATATTTAAAGCTCTGATAACGCTTAGTACTAACCAAGTAGTAAGTCCATCTCTTTGGAGATGCAGAGTAAGAAAGAAATGAGAGCAAAAGAGCTGTTAAGAGAGACGGAAACAGTCTTTGTTCCCTGAAAGTCCAGCCAACCTTCATTGGTTTGAGTGTCTTATACCAGCCTATATTCCAGCTCTTTCGAGCAGTCTCCTTTTTTGATACTGCAGATGAATCCAACAAGAATACAGGACACTGCTGAAGGAAAGTTTGGGGAACTAGGATGGGCTGGTCTTTGGTGAGGGATGATGACATGAAAACCAGTACACTTCGAGTTGGAAAGAGAAGTATGACACACTGTAAGGGAGACACTGATCTACAGACAAATAGATTCAGCAGTTTGCAGTGGTCAAAGAATTGGGATCCAAGCAGGGACGACGGGTATAAAGTCAAGAGCACTGTGATATAGCATTGTCTAATCCTGAAGGACTGACAAGAATGACTTCCTGAGACCTGGAGACTGGGATGAGCTACTTGCTGCATGGCTTCAAGTGATAGAGGTGTGTGTTATGTTCCTAAGAGTTCCACTTCTCCTGAGGATCTGTGTGGACATGGGCTGCTGCATCATCTGGTTTTTTTATGTACTTTTTAGAAATGCACTTCACAAGTTGCAATATTGAAAAGACATCATTCAAAATAAAAGTGAATGTCTCAAAATCAGAAATACAGTTACAGTTGCTGCAAACTTATTTCTGCACATTGCATATTTATAATGATATCTTTAGTCACATCATTGTTTGCTATTTTTCCTCAGATTCGTGTCTGTTAGTGCAGTGTACAGGTTGGATGTTGCTCACAAAATGGGCGGTTAATCAGTATTCTTTTTCTGCCTGATTTTGTAGCCTTATCCTTGTTTACTGAACACTCATCAGAACAAACTATAAGACAGCTCTTAGGTCTATAAAGATATTTCATGATACTCCGTTCTGACAGTGAAAAATTCACAAACATTAATGAATTTGTTTTTAAAACACACCTACTGTGTGAAAACCTTTTGCAAGACTGTCATAGTTTAAGATTGGCCCCCCCTGAGAGTTGGGGGCTCAGAGGTGATTGGGTGCCAGGGCAGTGTTTTCTAGAGGGCCAATCACCGTCCATGTTGTTCGCTTCTGCTGAAAAATCATATATCAACAACCAGACTGGAAAAGAAAGTAGTTGTAGTTGTTGTTGGAGGAGAGTGGCCATGTTGTGAAAGCCACGAGCTGAGGGGCCCGGAGCCCCACTGGGGGCTGGGCTCCCCCCAGCCCTGACTGGGGGGCTACAGGGACTTGGAACAGTGTTAGACTGGGGTAAGTATCTGTAGCTGAGAAGCTGGGAGTTTGTGAGCAGCAGCAGGAGCAGTGGCGGAACAGCACTGACTGGAGAGATTGTGGCAAAGAGCCAGAAGAAGATAAGAACTGAAGAAGCAGCAAAGCCAAGCATGCAGCCAAGGAGGAGAAACATAGAGTTGTCTGAAGAGAAAGAGATTCAGCACAGAGCAGAACTAATCTCTGTGGACAGAGGTTGGGGTAAGAACTAAAAACCAAAAACCCCAAACTCCTTTTGAGATCCCTCTTAAAGTGGAGGGGGTGAACTCCTACTGGATGGAAGTCCTAAAATGCAGCATGCACTGCAGAGAGAGAGAGAGCTGAGAAGCTCAGGCTTCCTGGAGCTGGACCGGGACAGCCGAAGGAATGCGGAGGAGGGCTTCACCACCCCTGCTGCTGCCAAGCTAAGCTAGCAGCCTGAGATCAGAACACAGGAGCTCTGTAAGGGAGTTTGAATCCCCTGAGGATAAGAACCGTCATGAAGGCTTCTGCACTTCGTTGATATGACGTGGTGAAGCGACCTTTGTCCTGGTGAATGCAGCCCACGGAAGAGAAAGACCCTCGCCTGGAGTCGAAGGGCCGAGAGGGGTTTGGAGGCCTCCCTCGTGTGTAATGATAAAAGATCCAGCCACAGCTGCTGCATGGAAGGAGAGAAACTGCTGCCCTGAAGACACTGCTGCTCTGAGAGTGGAAAGGATCTCTTCCTTCTTCCCTCCTGGACTTTTATTTGGAGGAAGAAGAGATTTGATCCATTGTAAATACTGCTTTATCATAGAAAAGATAGTTAAGATTATGTGTGTAATGTATTATAATACTTATTTGAACAGTCATTGTAATATAATCCCTTCCCCCCATATTGAGTCTCGTGTTTTTGCCTGGAAAACCCATCTCACACTGGGTTGAGATGACGGAGGGGGGTTTGGACTCGGAATTGGATTTTGGGGCTCTCAAACCACTACAAAGACTTAATGTATTTTGTGTGTTGAAAGAGAGATTTCAGGGATTCCATTTCTTCAGGATATTAAGGGTTAATTAAATAAAGAAAAGTCAGTTACTGTCTTCTTTGTTTGCAATTGTCATTGTCCAGCAGCTGTGGCTCACATTGGTGACTTCCTAGAAAAAATTTCAACTAGGAGACTTGGTCAGCATCTTTGAGGAGTGCTGCAGAAGCAGGTCTGGGATCAAATTTCAGTGCAGCTGCCTTCACTGGGAGATCATACCTCTTATATATTTCTTCTAACTCAATAACTGTGCTTGTTACTGTTTTAATAAACATGATGAGGATTCAGTGGATGACCAGACTCTGTTAAAAATGCAGATTTCTTCTGAAGAGGAGTCCATCCAATAGTATGTAATTGTGCAACAATGTTTTTTAAATGCATAATATATAAAAGGTTTGAATCACAATTGGACCAAGAATTTTAATTCAGCACATCCTCACTGTCATGTTTCTCACTATTTTAAGGATATCTCTCCATGTGCTTTTTGAAAGCAGTGTAAGCATAATGCAACTTCTATGGTATTTTGGGTAGAGAGTGACATCTAGGGGCAGAAAATACATCCTGCTTTTCATGCTTATGTCAATTTTTTTTTGTAGCGCAAAGGTCTTTTAGTTGCATGCCTGTGTCATGACCTGGATCACAGAGGTTACAGCAACAGCTATCTTCAGAAATTTGATCACCCCTTAGCTGCTCTCTATTCCACGTCAACAATGGAACAGCACCACTTCTCGCAGACTGTGTCCATCCTGCAGGTAGGATTATTGAAATTGTATCTTCTGTGCAGGAAAGTCCAGTGGTGAAAATAGGAATCACATCATTACTCAGTAGATTTTCTGAAGCATGCTTAATTTAGTGTGTGGACTGTAGTACTCATTTAGAAGAATGGAAGATTTATTACAGCAAGCCAGGTTTTACAATTAGCAACCCAAGCATTCAAAAATCATGCAAAACATAGCTTTCTCAAAATCTTAAGGTTATAAAAAGTATTGTGTATTTGAAGTCCTTTGCTTATGGCCTTCCTTTGGAGATTTTAGCTTCTGGGTCAATGAGGCTTTTTCCTGTGACCATGTGGAATAAGAACTTTGAAAATGAAAAATCAGTTTCTCACTTAGATATTTCCATCATATTGGACTGTGACAAAGTCTTCAATCATCCTGAAATTCTGAAAAAAAACCTCAAATACAGAGAGTTTTTTGCATAAGAAGCTTGAAAACATGCTGTAATAAATTCTGTGAACATTAAATGTGTGGCATGAAGGAGGAAATGTTAATTTTGCACGCATGAAAATCGTAAACATATTTCATTATGTTATACCGTGCTTCTTTGTTACTCAGCAATTTGAAATAAAAAAATGAATAAGGTAGTATTCTGTGAAAGAGAGTTCCTAATATGAGGTCATGTGTCTGGTTAATGAAGACAAAACTCCAAGAAAGCATGCAGATACATTTTGGGAAATCCAGGTGTGCTACTGACACACAGATATTTTTTCATTAGTGAATTTTTTTTTTCATGCTCAGTTAGAAGAGTGAGAACTCTCACTCATGAAACCAACTGCCAGTCCATAATATACTTGTACTCAGTGGTTTTAGTTTACCGTGCACACACTCAATGCACAGCCTTACTATGCTACTGTGCCACTAATTCATTGTTAACCTTTCTTTGGGGTCTTTCAGAGAAAAGATATTTATTTTCTTAAATACCTAATCAACTTTTAGGAAAAATACATATTCTCTATTGTATTCAGAAGCGCATCTTGTGATTATGGTTTTAGGTATCATACACATTTAATCACAGAATAGAAGCTTTATTTCTGAATGTTCCTTCATGTAGGAGGGTATAATTGAATCCTTCAGTGCTGGTATGGCATTAGATGTTTAGTGTTCATTCCTCATGTGAGTTTGTGCATAGTGAGCATGTTCTTCAGTCATTAACACTTCCCTATCCAAACCATTTTGCATTTTTCTGGCAGAAATGTAGTAATCAATGAAAGTCCCATTTTCCAAGAAGGCAGGGAACCCTTTTGCTTCCCTGCTACTTCATAGCCTTGCTGTTAGTGTTAGTCAGGAAAGGGGGATAAGTGGTCAAGGCTATAGAGTGGATTCAAGACACCACCTACCAAAGCACCCCATGGGTGGTAATTAGAAGCAAAGACAGATTAGAGCAGCGTTTTGGACTTTCTGTTTTTCATTTGAATCAAAAAGCCTTACTGAATTCCTGGACCCACCAAAATCTTTAGGGTTTATCTGAATGAGTTTTAATTTTACGTTACTAACCTGCAGTACTTTTCACTCCTTGAAATTGTAGAGCTGCTTTGCTCATCCACCTGCAGTTCTAGTGTACACCATACCTAGGAATACAGAGGATTCTATTCACTAGCTTTAGCTCAGCAGGGAAAGAACAAAATCTTAGGAGTTGTACTTTGTATGTACTGCTCAAAAGCCTAAGTGACACGCTCACAACTCGCAGCTTCTGTCAGTACCTAACAGAATCAGTTCTTTTCTAGTAGTATGAATAGAAGCTGTCACAGTGGTCTTTCTGAGAGTGCAGCTTCTAAAACATAAGGGTAGAATCTAGAATAATTTAAATATTAGGACAAATTAGGACAAATCCTGTTCTCATGGATTAGACAGCAAGGTTGTGGAGGAAAGGGTCCCCAAAACCATAAATCATGAAAACTGATAGTAGTAATTGCATACTCCCAAAATGTTGATGATAGGTTAACATGTTCTGAACCTTTTTTTTTAAAATCACCATGTTCTGTGACTTAGGAATCTGTCAGAGGAACATTGAGACACAGATGGATTGTATTTTCTATTCATTATTCCCAATAAATCTACTTGTCTAAGTAAAAATATTGGAAAGTGATGTTTACATTCCGGATGGTGAAAGAAACTAAGCCTAATTGTACTGCAGAGGATTTATTTTGAGCAAATTATGTAAATGCTTGACAAAAATCAGGGAAACTTTTTATGAGCTTCAGCCCAAATGCCAATTAAATGTCAAAACATATTTGCATTTGATATATTTTAATAATATTTTCTGTTTCTGAATGTGCACACCTTAGCATGGCTGGCTCATTCTTTCTCTGCTTCCTCTCAACAGTAGGAAGACTTTTGACAAGTTGTTTTCCAAATCTTAGAGACAACGAATAGTGTTGACTTTTCAAAATGTGATACCATCATGGCTAGGCTTTGCGAACGAAGATTTGGGAAGGACTCTACCCACATTTGCTGCATAGCTTCTTGAGCTATCACAGTGCATGGATATTGTCAGTTAAATGCTCAATAATACATAGTGGAAATTGAAAAGGGACAACAGTGGTGTGTTGCCAGCACTTCCATAGCGGAAATCATTGTCTTTAGTTTATGAGTCAGTTAACTCAAGGTTGAACAAAAGCAGCCTTTTCCCCTAGATGATCCTATACATTAAAATAATTAACTTTATTTCTATGTGGAAAATTATGTCTGTAAATGCATCAATTCCAGGCACATGTCATTTGGAACATTAGGAAAAGAAAATTATTTAATACTTTCAACTTTTTTTCTTTATCCATACTATATGTTATGCAGTATCAAAATTGTGCTAAAGTGAATCAGTCACTGAGTTTACCAACTTGACCATGCAGTACTCAGGACCAGGATTGGTCCACAAGTTTCCAAGCTAACAGTCTAGACTGTGTCTGTAATACTTACAAATCAGAGAAGAAAAAGCTAGCATTTTTCTCTAGTAATACCTTTAGGCTTCAGAAGGAGCAGTCCCAAAAACAAATTAATGGTTTAGTCAAGATTTTATTCTAGACAATATTTAAAAAGGAAAGATAAAAATGGGAATTTCAGGCTGTCAACATTTGAATTTGCATCTAAACTTGTCATTGGGCTGTAAAACCGTTGTAACCTGTCTGGTAAAGTAAAGACTGAAATCATCTCAGAATTAGAGCTTGTGCTTTTTATTGGTTTTTTACTTTTTCATAGCTGGAAGGGCACAATGTCTTCTCCAATCTGAGCTCCAGTGAATATGAGCAAGTACTTGAGATCATCCGGAAAGCCATCATCGCCACAGACCTTGCCCTGTATTTTGGAAATAGAAAACAACTTGAAGAGCTGCATCAGACAGGAGCATTAAACCTTAAGAACCAAGCACACAGGTGAACCTCCAAGCCAGTTGTAGATCCCTATGGCATTAATCTAGAGGGAGAAACCTTTTTTTTTCTTTAATTGTCTCTGAATAGTAATTTTCTTATATATGTGATTTCTAAGATCAGCAGTATGTAAAATTCCAAATAGGTACCAAGGATTTCCATTGCTTTATATTTACATTGACCCTGCCTTTGGGTGTCATCTGCACAGTTCAGTGACAGGTCTTCTGCAGAGGAAAGTTTAGTGCATGGGCAGTTAGATGTTGGGGAAAAAAGCCTACTGCAGTAATTACTTTCTTTTATTTTTATGTCAATATTTTTATTATTCTGTCAACATGTTTTTTAGAGAAAAACTGTGGTCAGATCTCAACCTTTGGGAGTCAAGATAGCTCTAAGATTTAAAAAATATAAAATATTCATATTCATATACGTGACTCTCCACAAAAGCAAACCTGCAGTCTGGATGAGAGATGTGTCTCATAAGAGGCTTCATTAAAGCACCTATGCAGCCCTTCAGAGAGTCTTTACTCGAAAGTGGATCCTGTCCTTAATCTAATGCATGGAAAAATTAGGGAGGCAATATGAGAAAATATTGAATCACGATTCGGTTTTTTTTTCAAAAGGAACTTCTGTTCTTAAGTCTTCTTTGAGGAGTTTTACAGGCTTTTGCCAGTAGTTTTGAATAAATCACTATAGCACTGCAGGAAAAATAGTTTTTTAAAACACTTATTTTCTAGTATGGAACTGAAACTTATCAGATTTTAATAAACCTCAACATCTTAAAAAGACAAAGACATAGCAGCTCTGAAAAATTGTAGAATGAAATTTATCAGAAATCTTGAATTTAGGTTTTACAAAATTTTAATAGGATAAGAACTATTTAGTGTGTGATTGAATATTCTCTTTATATTTTTTAAAATCTTACCTGCCTACGGGGCATTTTCAGTTCAAAGCCACAAGATAGGCATCAGTTTGTAATGTGGCTAACAAATCTAAGACTTATAGTTGGTACTGTATGTGCAATGGAAAACTAAATTTGACCCTTATGTGGCTGATGAATCCTCTATCTTAACTCAGGGGAATTGCACTTTGCCATTTATCTATTGATTATATTGTGTATTTGTGTATTTCCCCAGTATATTTGTTTGTTAGCACAGTTTTAATGACTACCATCACACTTGCACACAAGTTAATTAGCTCTATGCTTTTTTACATGGAATAGATATTATTAACAAAGATGCAGGTGTCCTTAAGGGTCATCCTAATTTCTCCATAGAGTGGAAAACATGTGAATGCATTAATTAATCTGCCAGTTTGCTTTATAAAACTTAGATTCACAAACCATAGGTTTGGACAGTAGACAAGTGCTAGAAAACTGATTATACGAGATTTGTGTGTGGGTGTGTGTCTTATTCTAATAATAATTATAACTCTAGTGATGTTCAGTTACTCTGTGAACAGGTTTGACAGTGTATAGGACAGAGTTAAGTGTAGGATTCTTGTCCTGTCAGGGTTCAAATTCATTCCAAAAAAGCAATGACAGAGTACCTTGAAATAGACTCAGAACTAATTTTTTTCTCTTATATGGAGAATGTTTTCCTCTCTAAAGAACAGAAAGAAATGCAACAACTGGATATGCCATCTTTCTTTTTATAGACCTATACTGTATTTTCAGAAAATTAGAGAGGGGCATGTGAATGTTTTAACAGGCAGGCATTCTGTGGACTTGTCTGTGTATGTGATTGTGTAGGGAATGGTCAATGAAGTCTGGTTGCAAACAATGTAGGGAATACAACAGGGAATATAATTTACAATTTGTGCGATGCCTTACCAATCAATCACAAAAAAGTGAGAAAGAAACAAGCTAAGTGGGAGAAAATTTGTAGTATATATCCATTACTGATGATTGACCTGAGGAAGGGCAAATAAAAACCTTGCAGAGTGATCATTAATTCTTACAATTTAATGTTATTTTATTTTAGAGATAGAGTGATTGGACTGATGATGACGGCTTGTGATTTGTGTTCTGTAACAAAGTTGTGGCCAGTTACCAGACTGACAGCCAATGATATATATGCGGAGTTCTGGGCTGAGGTACGTGTGTTTCTCTTCTCTACTCTTTTTATAAATTGAAGTATTCAGAAAGGAAAAAAAACAACCAGAAGTATTTTTCAATCAATAATTTGGTGTGCTTGTTTTGAAGAGAGTTGACTGGTCCAGGCATGTGTTTGTTGTTTACTCTGAAGCTATTTAAAGAGCTGAGTTAGATATCTAATTTTTAGGCAGTGTTTTTTCTCTCTGTTAAAGAAAATGTAGAAAGTATGTCCTAACATAAAGTGACCAAGCAACAGAACACAGAAGAAAGTCTGGAAGATCTTTTGGGTCACTAACTGTAGTTTTATGAAGGATATATTTGTATTCTAGGAATGCAAAATATGAAACCAGCTTCCAGGTCAGCTGCCTTGAAATATACTTGAAACAAAGCTGTAGTATGAGTCCAGGAAATGCTAAAGCAAATATGGCAAACCTGAAAATTTTCCTCATCTGACCATTTGAATCTTCTTTGTGAGCCAGCTCAACAACTGGGTCTCAGAGAGAGCTGAGTTTTTAATGTACTGAAGATGTACTGAAGATGTACTTAAGATGTACTGAGAATTGAAACAAGGCATTGAGCTATACTAATATAATCATGTTCACAAATAAAGATTCAATCTCCCACGTGTCTTATGTTGAGGAGTAAATGTTCTAATTGTTTAATTTTTAAAGTGGAACTGACTACTTTAGAAATAAGGAATAAATTCTGAAGTTGTTGCATAGAGCTGAGTTATGCAACTTTACAAAATACGTTGTATTTTCAGAACTACTATTGCATGTGTGTAGAATGAAGTGTTATTCTCTTATGTGCCCTGTGAAAGTCTGCAATATTCAGTGGGCTTATTTCTGTTTTACACAGGCATAAAATAGAAATCATACCCATGGAATTGATGTAACATGCATATAGTGTGGAGATTGTTATTCTGCCTGCTACACGTTCATTATGAAATACCAGATGTGCATGGCTTGTGGGTGTCTTTAGTATTCACATGTTCTCGTTCTCTTAATTAGAAACAGCTCAGACTATAACAAAATATTTGAAAAATATATAAGCTCAAAGATCTAGTTTAGTACTCACTTTCTGATATCCCTGCCCTGGAAAGTGAATGTCCTTGTGAGTGGTATAATGGAGATATAATGTTGATGATCCTCAGTGATTACATAGTCAATTTTTTGCTTATAAGTAAAAAGACTTTTCAATGCAAATCTTGTGAATTCAGTCGAGAAGGAAGAATCAAGCTTTTTTCTACTTGACAATAGTAAAAATGGAATTATGGGTGCAATTGAACCTGTCCAGACATTAACATTTTTGGTAATCCAAGGATGAGTTTATCAAGGTGGATCTTGATATATTGCTATTTCATGGAACAAATGTAAATTAGAATTTATTGACAGAAATTGAATTCTGTAATTGGTGTTTTACTGAATCCTCTTTTAAGAGGAGATTAATTGAAACATAGCAGAAATTGAATATACTGTGATCCAGGCAGGATGGCTAACAGATCCAGCCACAGGTATAGAACGATTAGATTGTGTTTCACTGCATAAATTGTTACGTAGTTGCTTCTAGAAAAGTATATTTAACTATATTGAATGGTTACATTACATAAGTTACAAGTAGAATAGAATATTACAGTTCTAAGAGAAGGATAGACTACTGCTTGTAATTACTACTTGAGTTCATAATCTTAATGTGTTGAATGATGTAATCAGAGTGTTTTTATATTTCTTCTTTGTGTAATCATTAACTAAAACAATAATTCCAGAAGAGATTGCAGAAGTTTTGTGGTATGTCACACTGATCTCTTTGTCATTAAACCCCAGTATGGCTGGTGTCTTTAGCTAAGTTCTGCCTTGATAACATGAAACTTTCTCAGAGTGCTACAGTTCAAGCAAAATAATATGTTGCTCATCAATTATATAGGACTATATAGGATCACTAACTTGTATAAATATGTCTGCTGTGATTTTTTTTTGGTGGTATGAGATATGAGGCAGTTGTTAAACCCTTTCTGCAGTATTTTCTAAGAGACTTATAAGCCATTTATTACAACTATACTGCAAGTGTGATACAAACTTCTTGGGTTAAAATTTCAAGTTTAACTTTCTGATCATGATCATAACCATGAGGATAAAAGCAGTATTTTTTATAACAGTATATCATATATATGTTCTCATACTGAACACAAAAAACTTGTGTTTCTAGTGTGTATGAAAGGGTGAAGATGAATCTGAGATTTGTTCAGTTTTGCTATAATCAGTCAGAGGCTGGAAAGCTGTCTCAAAGTTCTGAATTCAAGTGTTTCTCAGGCACTTAATATTATGTTAATCAAATTGCTTAAAATCATACGATGCTAAATGGTTTAGTGTTAAGGTTCTTATCATTGAGACTATTATAGCCATAGACAGTCTTGGATCAGTCAATTGCAGTACTTCAACCAAACGGAAAAAAATTAAATTTTATTTACTGGGGGCATATGAAAGCAATATTTGCTTACAGTTCCTAAATAACAACTTTTCTGTGCTTGGAATTGTTACAGGTGTCTTTTTTTCCCCCTCAGCTGAGAAATGAGGCCTTTCCCTTTGTTTCTTTCAACAGCAAAATGTCTAACAGAAACTACATTCCATGATTTGAGACTCTCTTAACTACCTGGTGAAAGAAATAATAAAGAGAATAATATAGACATCAATTAAAAAATAGCTTCCTGATTACAACTCTTGTTGGTTAATTGAACAGGATCATAGTTAATAAGTGATGTTGAGGCCAAATATGCAAGAGGGAATTGACTTCCAGAAGTCCCCATTTTCTCTAGACTCAAGGTATTTGCAAGGCACTCAAACAGAAAGATGCTCTGCTCAGACCAGAGTCAATTTATTATAATGCAAACTTCTCTTTGAGTAAAGGTAGCAAAATCTTCCCTTGGAAAGGCACATTGGCACTTAAAATGTGGCTTTGAGAATCTTATAAGATGTAATAAAATGTGTTCTGGAGATAACTTCAATAGCTGTAGCAGAAAGACAGAACACAGATTTAGGGAATGATGTCCCAAGCTTTCAAATAGCTAAATCTCTGTAAGCTGAATCTCACATTAAAGGACACAGATAAGGAAATATTGTATAAGCGGCTATCCTGCATAAGCATTCTCCCTAACTAAAGTGTATTGGGTCTGGCTGTATTGGGTTGGAGTTAACTTTCTCCATAGCAGCCCTCATTGTGCTGGTGTTGGTTCTGCTGGACATGGGGGAAGCTTCTGGCATCTTCTCACAGGAGAAGTCACCAAAGTCACTTCTCTAGCCTCCCCTACTACCAAAACCTTGCCAATACATAAGATTAGTAATTTGAAGATCACTTTGGAATCTCAGATGTGGGCAGTAGACAAAACCAGCCATTGCTGTAGTTGCCTCTTCCCCTCAAGATTAAACATCTGTAGTGTTTTGACAATGCAGTTCAGGGATAAGACTTGGAAAACTTCAATTTGTTACGTAAAGTAGCCAGCTACTTATGGATTTTTAAGGAGTAATTGTTTTCAAGGCCCAATATAGGGCCCAGAAATGTGTTCTAGCTGCTCTGCTGGTAATGGGTAAAGTATAGGGAGAGAGTTTTCTCTTGTACATTGCATATATGTGGTCTTAGGATACAATGCATCTTTCCCAGTATTCTTCCCACGAATGTAGAGAAATAATGTACTTAAAGAAAAGACAGTTGTTTGACAGGCAACTTCTTCAAAGTAGCATTGTGAAAAAGACTAAATTGTTGACAAAGAGGGCATATTATGAATTCGTCTGGTTTTACTCAGCTTTTCCTTGCATTGGTGGGTTGTATTCTATTGGTTGTTGTATTATGGTGCTTTAAACAGGTAATGTTTTGAAAGGTGAGAGTAAGTATGAATGGAACACAATAGAATTTCTTTGGTTTTATTCTTCCAGTTGCTTTTTTGTTGTGGAGACATACTTGGAAACAAGGAAAATATGTGTATATTGACTTAAAGACTTAATTTTCAGCATCTGTGATTTACATAGTCGTTTAGGTGAATGTATAAAATAAGTCCCTCCTTATTCTCCTTAGGCATTTTTCTGAAATTGCCTCAGAACTGTACCACACATTATTTTAAATTCTGGATTTTTAGATTGACAAAGAATAGAAGATGGAAAATAATTTAGGTCTCACTAGTCTTGATTTGCTTTTCTCCAGGGTGATGAAATGAAGAAAACGGGTATCCAACCTATTCCTATGATGGACAGAGACAAGAAAGATGAAGTCCCTCAGGGTCAGGTATGAACTCTCTCAGTAAAGTGGTACATGTTATAGTGTGTGTGTGTATATATATATATATATATACACACACATACATACATACCATAGTTATGGTATAGTGTTAATAAACACTATATATATGGAAAAACCATTTCATATATTAGTGAAAATTGCATTTGAAATTAGGGTATGCAGACTGCTGAATTCTATGTTCTGCATGCAAAACTGTTAACTTTTTAAGTAGCAGTGAAAAACTTGTTTTCAAATTTTTACTTGAATGACAACGTGCTCTTTGCTGTTGTCAGTTTCCCTCTTCTTTGTACTTGTAACTGTAGCTCAAACTAGAATCACCTACAATTTTGAGGAGTGTCAGTAACACTTTTTATCTTAGTAAATGGTTGCTTCAGCCCTTAGCTAAAAGGTTTTGCTGTTTTATCCTGAGTATAAAATGAACTTTATCCCCTGTTCTTGGTTAAAATATTCAGGTTTAGATTTCAAAATATTTGCAATTTTAGACAAATACTTCTTCATTAGTTATTTGGATAACTACAACCACTGCTTTTTGACATTCATAAAATAAATAATGTGAAGAGTTTCTTGGGGATAAGCAATAAAGGGTGTATTTCTAAGAGCCTCAATTGTCTAGTTTTCCAAATCTTTGGGTTCTGATTTTCATGTGCACAAGTGTGCACAAAGGACTGGGTTTTATGCTTTCTCTAGGGAAAACTGGAATTTTGTAAACACATTTTAAGGGGGAAAAAAGTCTTGGAAATAATTTTTTGGATAAACAAAAAAGGTAGCTTGTCCTTTGATTATCTGAGTAGAGAAAAATAACTGTAAATTGTTCATTGTTCATACATATATCTATATATGTATAAAAGGTTTTTTTATTTCAGTGGCCTCTGATGTTGTGTCAGTTGTTAGCGCTCACAAAGCATTTTATGAACTCTGAAATTAATATTTAAAATTATATATTACAACGTATCACAAAATCATGGTAGATTGCTAAACAAAACTACTGAAATTTTTGTATTTTGGCACTTTACTCCATATGCTGTATCATATTTTAGCTTAAAAACTATTATACCTTATTATAGTAAGGAATTGACAGTTAACGTACTAAATTTGTGTGTTTAATACGAACATAAAATGAGAAAAAACATTTTTCTGCATTTGGTTTATTTTTCCACACACTATTTTAGTTATCTTTGAACATCTTGAAAAGTACATGGTATTACAGTATGTACAGTTATCTTGGCATTTGTGAGAAAATTGTTAATGAAGTGAAAGATCTAAGACACAAGCTTTTTGTCTCTTTAAATTCTAATAAGTATTGTTCAGGTACTGTCTTCATCAGATTCTCTTTTACTTTGTGCTCTGTTTCATGCTTCATAGTAGTATAACAGTAAAATATTGAACTAAACAGGACATTAAAAGCCAACTTCACTAGTATAGTTGTAGTTTCTGTACCTCACAACGTTATAGAAAAATGTGAGATTTAGGATATGTATGAATCTGTGAAAGCAGCCCTTCCAATATTTATGAAGAGACTGAAGAATTTAGTAAACTATTATACTCCATTTCACTGGCTCTAGCAAAAGTAATTAATGAGTATTTTTACTATTTTAACTAAAGCATCAACATGTTATGTAAATGACAGTGATGTTTAGGAAATGAGGATTTGTATAAACATGTAATCTCTGAAAATAACTACTTCTGTCTCAAATACTCATGTTTGATAAAAATAACCTTTATTTAGCTATTCCTCTTGCTTGGGTGCCTGGATCATTTGTGCTTTACATCCTTTGCAGCACAACTGATTTAAGGTCTCTGAGTTTGGTGTCTTCCTATTGTGAAGCTTGCACTGAGGATTTGTTCCCAGATTAGCAAGGATCTTTTCACCTTATGTTCTGCCCCTCCTTTTGGAACCTGTGAAGAAAATAGAAATGAGAAAACAAAGTCCCCCTCAAAACAAAGAAAACAAGAAAAAAGTAAAAACAAAAACAAGTAGGAAGAAAATGACACATTATGTGAAATAGTGTGAATGAGCAGACATCCTATCTGTGTATAGCCTTGCTTTCTCACCTTCTTTCTGTTGATTACATCATAAATACTTCAGCTCAGACTGTGGGGTTCGCAGATCAGAAAACGTATCTTATTTTTATACAGTAGTAAGTACAGAGACGACTTGGTTACACAGCAGTATGGGAGGAATCTTTGTATTCATGGAGGTGAGTTGCCCTCTGATTTCTGAGTAAGGGCCAATGTTTGGACTATTAAAAAAATGCTTTGGTCATGGTACAATATGTAGTATTTCAGTAACAGGCATTTAAAAATTTTGCCCTAAGAAAGTGATCATAGTACTGTAACAACTACCATTAGAGTCTGAGATAAGTGACTGATGCTATAATGAGTCTGAAGGTAATCTATCATCCTTGATAATATATAAGTAGCATTTTCTAAAAATCCCTTCATGTCATGACAATTCAGCTGTGGCATTGTAGCTGTTATAGGCCCCTAAGCCTGTATGAATCACATATCATTAAAAAGGTGCTCATTTGGTGCTCTTTAAATAAGATTATGGTAAAAATATATCACTGAAGTGCATACATAAGAAAGTGCAAACCAATTATTGATCACAGTGCACACCTTTCAGAGACTTTCCAAATGTGTAAAGCCTCCAGCATGTTAAGTAAATTGAGCTATGCAATGCATACCCTGGAGGACATCAGAACAATCCAGAATCTGACTGTATTTTGGCAATGCTGCACAACCTTCCTTTTTTAAAAAATAAAATCATCACATGAACAATGTTTGCAGAAATGTCTCTGCCATTTCCACCTACTTTCCACTGCTAGTGACATCAAACAGCTAGACAGATTCTGAGCAAATAAAATGAATCAATTGAATAATAAAAGGTTCTGTAGAAAACTCTACTTGAAGCAGAAATACCACTCATAAAAGAAAGGCATGTAAGCAACTCGTTATTACCAGAGATTTCACTGTTGCTGCTTATTTTAAAGTGTTCAGATCTTAAGAGGAGATGCAGAAGTGTGAATAACTAATATAAGCAGTAATTAAGTAAATAGTAAACAGCTTTGAGCTAGCTGGCTGTTAGCTTCCAGTGTTGTAGTTTGGCAACATTTTTTTTTCATTTTGTTTTTTGTAGATTGGGTTCTACAATGCTGTAGCCATCCCATGTTACACCACACTTGCACAGATCTTTCCTCCAACTGGGCCACTACTCCGAGCATGCAGGTGAGTAAATATGCGTAGTGTGTAGCTTGGTCAAAGAAAAAACAAGAATGCTTTGCAAGTTTGTCTGGAAATGAAGACTTTTAATTTTAGAATTTGCATGCAGATAAACAGGGATACACATCTCACATTAATCTTTGCAGAAACCCAGAAGCGATAACTGATGTCTGGGACTATCCAAAGCAGATCTACAGACACAACTGATTAAAGTGAATTGGGTGCCAAAAGTAATTAGAGAGGAACAGTTCAGTGTTTATGCATTGCTGTCCAGGCTGGTTAAATACAATTTCCTTCTGTGTCCTTTTTACTTCAACATGGTTCTCACAAAAAAATTTGGCTAGAATTCTGTTTCATTAAAAAGACATGGGTTTAGCATGTGGTTTTATTTCATGTCAGATAATTTTTATTAAAAAGCAGAAAAAGAAATATCCACAAAATATTCAATAATTGGCAGCATACGAGTAGTAACACTGGGATGAGGTAGAGTCAAATGTAGCTTTCTCCTATGAATCAATTGGTATGTAGCTTGGGTTCTTCTGGCAGAGAGGCAGGAGTCCTTTAACCTATTGTCTCTTTCTACCCTGGAATGATGGTGGATTGCGTTGTAGATAGGTCTGTCCAATAATTATATCCTGGAACGTAGCAATCTTTCCTGACAAAACTTCTGTTGAAACCAGTGTGTACTTCATGAAAATGTTACAGTTTCAGGTTAATCAGTATTTTCAAAAAAAACCCAATTGGTTCATAAAGCCAACAATCTTAAGTCACATCCAGTGGGAAAAGAGAACTGCTTTTCTTTCCTCTTATATTTTTTTTTCTGTCATGGTCCTTAAATTCAAGCTTACATGGAACTTTTTATTTGTGTTAAGTAACAAACAAATGTCTTGAAATTTAATATAGTAGTTAGCAAAAACATTTCATTCACACCCAAACGCTGTTTCATATAGCTATGAGAAGAATATGTGTGTCTGTATCAATGTTACAGAGGACTAATGAAAAACAGTGAGTATCCAGGAGCCATCTTTAATAGTTGTTTGCCTCTAAGATGCCTCCTCTGGGCATGGCTGTGCAACCCTGAGGTGGATATGAAAGGAGTATTCAGGAGAATTGGAGGCTCTACCTCTGTGGTTGTTTTGTTAATAGGGCTACAGCTGGAATTTTGGTTAGTGTGTGTGCTTTAAGAAGAGTAGATAAAGACACTAGCAATTAAGAGAAACTCTTTCTTTATGAAAGAGCTGAAATAATGTTTTGAGTTCTTAGTAGAGACTAAATAAACCGACATAATATGTTTAGTTTGTCCAGGAGAACCATAGAATCATGGAATGGTTTGACTTGAAGGAACCTTAAATATCATCTAGTTTAATCCCCTCGCCATGGGTGTGGACACCTTTCAATAGAGCAGGACTCAAAGCCCCATCTGACCTTGTCTTGAACACTTCCAAGGATGGGGCATTCTCTGGGCAACTTATTCCAGTGCCTCACTACCCTCACAGTAAAGACTTGATCAAAATCTGTAACTGTCTCCATAGCATGCTTTCTGTTTAAGCAAAACTCATTAATTTAGCAGGTTAAGAATACTTGCAGTCTAAATATTCAAAAAAGAACATTTGGGTGTACCTTTACTCCCCAAATCATTATCTGTATGCTCTTAACATGAAAATTTCTTGCAGAGTCTGTATGATTAATAAAGTAACCTTAGCACTGGATATCAGGAAAGTTCTCTTACTAGCACAGTCAAATGAGAGGTCTTAGAAATGAGTTTGTATTTACTGTAGAATTATTTGCATAGTCAGTACCTATGGTATGAAGTTAGTGTTGTTATTCCACTTAATGGAAACTGAGGCTTAGAGAGGCTAGGTTGAGTGCTTAAGATGCACAGCATCTTTTTTCAAAGCAGGGTTCTGAGAAGACACAGATCTTTTGATTTTTGGACACATGGATATCCAAACGAAGCTTATTTACAAAAGTGGCCTGTATTACTTGATAGTCCATCTTTTAGTACTCAGGCGAGAAGTCTTAAAGTTGAATTGTGAATATCAAACACCCATGTAAGCATGTGTTCTAGATGAAAGATTCTCCATAATTCTGAAGATAAAGCATGAGCATCTTTTCAAGAGCAGGTTTCTCTGTAGAAGGTGTGATGTCTGAAGCACAGGCAATCAGACTCCTGGCAGAGATGACATGAACTTTTTCTGTTGCAGAAATTATGTTTGTTATTTGTTATTCAAATTGTAATACTGATACTTCTGAAAGCTATGCTGACACAGTCTACACACTGGGCAGAGCTCTGTACAGACACAGCTCCCTGTCTTGCTATTGTGTATTCTTTAACTTAGATGGTGCTGATGCAGAACTGGAGCGTAGATGTGTGGGTGAGGTTTAAGATCTCCTTAAGAATAAAGAGCTTGCTGAAAATCCACATCCTGGCATAAAGTCTTCTGAAGAGCAGTTTTATCTTGGCCTTGAAATTACCCTCTGCTTTGTCTTTGAAGAGAACAAAGAGGAAGCTTGAGTTCAGACTTGGAAATGCAAAGTAGGAAATCAGAACGCAGATATAACTTCAGCTCCACAATTAGAAAAAAAGCATGTTATTGCCAGGTTTAGAATAGTCTAGAGTATTTCAAATAGCTGATTTTGCACTACATTTTTTTTCCTTTATTTTTGATAGGTAATTGTTATTCAGTGTGAGGAGAGGAATACAACCTCATTCTTGATTGGTATTGCCTCAGTTGCTGACTGAACTAATTTTGATATAACCCCTTCACTAGCAATGCTCATTCTTGGAACACAATATTTAAGCTGCTGCATCCTTGAGTTCTTTGAAATGCAGACACCAATAATAGCAGCAAAAGCAGCCAAGGCAGCATGTGAGCATCAAGGTTTTTCTTTTGAGAGCCTCTGGGCATTTATTCCAGACACTGGGAGGCAGGGCTTCACTGGAAGCTCAAAAGCAAATGAATCATATTATCAACACCTTAAAAAAATTAAAATAATTAAAAAAAAGTATCACACTTATATTCCTGAGGTAGGGTAGCAGCTAACAGTCTCGGTTTTCTTGTCTGGTAATTTATTCCACATTTTTAAATGCTTTCTTGTAATTCTATGTAGATCAAAACTACTAGCCACCTGTGTTACAGTGTTCAGAATAAGTCTTTCCTATGTTTTGTAGCCCACGTACTCAATAGGCCTACCAAAGAGGCAAATATATGGTAGTGTATTTATTTTGAGGATGAAGTGATTTATTTTTTTCCTTTTTTCAGATCAAATAATTTAAAACTGTTTTCTTTGTGCTTTTATGTCTCAATTCTTGCTGAAATTGATTTAATTTAAAAATATTTTGGCTGCAATTTTCATCACTTTGCCAGTTTCAGGAAAGAGACATAGAAATAGTGATGGTTCACTTTTTCTGATCCTTAGTGCCCAATTGTATTAGCTGAGGTTCAGTGCCATATTAACCCTGGCTTCATGATTTCCAGTTGGCTTGGAGCATTGGCAGAGCAGGTTTCCATGTGCCTGCAGAAAATGGTGTAGGTGTTCACCCTAGAGGCAGCAGCTGTCTTTCGTAGACTCTGCCTTCCGACACAGAGTCTCTGCGGACATGTCTGTCCAGGCTCACAGCTGGGTTTTTCCGCAGCCATGAGGGCTATAAATTTGCAATGGAAGCAGGTGGTAGCCTCTAGCATCAGGGCTTGCCCTTGGAAAGGTGTGCCAAAGTCTTGTATATAGTCAACATGGATATAAATCAGACAGAATTATAAAATGGGATAACTGAAGTTGAAGGCTGAAAAATGTAAAGTGATAAAAGCTTGATGACATACAAGAACTAATATACAGCATAATAAATATCAATGTATAGTACAACAGACAGTATTGTTAGGAAGAAATAAATACCAGTAAACTTATGAACAGTCCTTTACCTTTGACTTTTTTGCATCTCCAGGGACAATCTCAACCAATGGGAGAAAGTAACAAGAGGTGAGGAAGCCTCTATATGGATTTCCTCCCAGTCCCTTGCTCCTGGGACCTCAGATTCTCTTCCTGTGAAGATTGATGACTGAACAGCAGCAACAGATTGCTTCAATCTGAAAAGCACCCCTTCTTATTTTGGAGATTTTTTTTTGTTTTGTTTCATTTTTATTTGGAAAAAAAAAAAAGGAAAAAGAAAAGCTACAAAATTCTAACTAAGAAGTAGACCTGCCTAGGAAGGTAACACCCATGGAGTTACCTCAGCTAAATGACTCTGGCAGCCAATCTCCTGACCTGCACCAGTGACACAAAGTCAACAGAGGGAAAATGACAACCCAGATGTTTTGGAGTTAGCTATCAAAAGAGAACTTATGACTTGTGAATATAAAAGACTGGCCTTATCTCATGGGCTACATTGCTGAGGCCTTAATTTAAAACTGATGGGGGGTGGGGGTGGGGGGAATCTTAGGGGGTACTTCTAAATTGTATCTTTATAGTAAGGGTTTCAATGGTACTTTTATTATACCATACTGTGGCTGGCTTTAACACCAGTGTCACTTGGGAGTTCTTGGCTATAAATAGAACAATATACCCATTGCTATTGTGAATGTTTATGTGTGATCTACTTGTAATCAGTTTGAATTCCAGCAGAATCCTTGGAGATTACAATTTATGCTTAGGTTACAGTGAATTCTCTTGCTGCAAACTAAAGGAAAACCAAGATTCAGGTTAAAGTTTTAAAGTACTTCATTAAGCATCATGATGCAAATTGTCTGTCACTCATAAGGGAAATGTTGATAGAACTAGTGATGGTGCTTTGTTATTTAGAATGATTTATAAACCTAGACAACTCCTCCCTTAAAACACTAGAAGTACTGGATAATTATCTCTGATATGAGAAAGAGTTTCAGGTTGGAGTTTTTGTATCCATAGTGACAGAAGTATCAGATTAAAATTTAGATGTGACAGCAAAGATTTCCTTGCCTAGCTCGCAATTAAGTAAAGTCATAATTTTTATTTCTACCTGCTGAGTTGTAATTTAAAACTTACTAGAGACATACCTGAAGTATGCTATCTGCTGGGAACAAAAGCCTTGTCAGAAAAGTCAGGTCTGATAAGAGGGATTGTGGTACCATCACAATAAATCAAAAATGTGTTTGTATTGACTAGCTTTTGTGTTGCACAGTAACACTGCATGTCTTCTACTGCTTTTTTCCCCCTGTCCCAAGATAAGTGAAATTAGGAAACTTCTCCATTTGTCTGTTTGTTTTTTCCCCTAGTTCAGCAAATTTCCAGGATTAGAACTGCCTTTCTTAGTGAAAGAATAGCTGACTGAAGAAAAGTACTCTAAAACAATGTGTTTACAGTTCCGTGCTGACTTAGGCTTTAGCCTTACAAACTTAGGCACAGCCTTTAAGACCTTATGTTGAATGCCACCCTTAAATTTAGTGCAATTGTACAGAGTATGTTTCAACAACACTTAATTTGCCTTTGTCTTTCTCTCAAAGATAATGAGAAAAAAAATCTTCACAGTGATCCACACAGTAGGTGAAAACACCGTCTTCGCACACCTTTCACATACAGCCTATACTGCATTATATGCTTTTTCACAGGTAATGAACACTTGTAGTGGTTCCATGATAACATGGCCATTGTGTAACTGCAAAAAATACTAGTAGTGACTTAAAGACAGAACACAGGTTCTCTTTTTCCATCTCATGTCTTTTGGGCTGTATTGCTCTAATAGGCATGACATCTTATGGTTTTGTGTGAACAACCTGGACTCTTGAGTTTTGCCTTCTGTTATGGTCGAGCACATGCCACTATCTGTATATGTGTACAGTATGTGATCCATAATTGCATAATGTATAAATGCACCTAAGCCTTTGCTGTACGTAGAGATCCCACAGGTTGAGAATTCAATATGAAGTTATCTTATTTGTATGATGCAGGTTACAGCCCCATAATTTTTTACTGTGTTCTTTACCAACTCTAAATGCAGAAATTAATCGTTAATCACAGCAAACTGTTTTGAAATTTAAAAAAAAAATGACGGAAACAATTACACCAAAGTAGAATTAATAATATCTCATGCTGTGTTCTCTGTTTTACTCCTTAGCTATTCTGTTTCAGCTAAATCATGCAGATGCAACCTTTCATCCACTAAGTACTTGAAACACAGTCCACTGATCCTAATTTACGTGGAAATTATCTAAATCTAAATATCTTTATCTAAATAAAGTGGTGACTACAAAAATACTCTTTGAAATTCAGATACCCCAACAACTGGATGGAACATTTTCCTTCCTGGTTGAAGTATATTTGTGGTTTTTCTCCCCTTTTTTTTTCTCCATTTAAAAATGCTGATCTTAAAAGCATTGTAAGACTGTTCCTTATCACACTGTGTCTGTGTGTATAGAAAGATTTTCGTTCACCTTTTACTCATCGACAATAAAGATAACTTCACTAGTTCTGTTTCTTACCATTCAAAATATTTGACAGTATCACATGATTTTGTTTTGAAGTTTATAAGTACTGATAGAGAGCCTGTTTCCCTGGCAAATTTTTCAAATTGACAATCAGTTGTTTTATCAATATCTCAAGTGAATCAGATACTGTTTCTAATACAGAACTATCCGAACCACATAAAATATATGTTTGCTATAGTATAATGTTTATTAGAATTAAAAGTTTTGGCTCCAGTGCTTGTGGTTTGGTTTGATTTCCTGGTGTGTTAAAGGAGAAAGGTCATGACAAAATGTTACTCTTTCTTAGCACTGAGACCAACAAAAATAGCCATGATGAACTGTGTTTTTAAAGCAAATATAGTCTGTCTTAGCATTTACACAGTATAGATCCATATGTGTAAATATTTTCTAGAAAAAGACTTATACCTGCACTTCCAAAGTTAAAAACATCAAAAATTAAAACTTTGGAGCTGCATTTGAATTTCATGACTCAAACACATATTTGGATTTAATTGTTTGAAGTTCTGAACTTGAACTCACAAATTGAGTGAGACATCCAACTCATTAAGTTAAAATGCAAAAAGACATTCCTCTTTGCATTTTTACCCTACTAAAACTGATCTTGCCCAAAATCAATAAGAATGTATAAAAAGCCTAACAGATCTTTCCTTTCCCAGAAGTGTTAGACTTTATATTCCCAGAATTGCAATTTCTCTTCCCCTCTAAGCCTAGTGAAGGTAAAAGCACTGTTTGAAGCTATAACTGAGCATTTCTAATGTATTATGAAATGGTGCCTGAAAGGTATGCACTAAGTGAGAAAAATAGTTGACATAGCATAATACTTGTCTAAAATATTGCATATTTTATTACAACACTAACAGAAACTCCACTGTTAAAATTAATCTATGAATTTTGTATGGTTGTGCAACACACTCCTATAATGGTATATAGGAGAATATACTCCTATATACCCATAGCAGTAATTTTTTTTTTTAATAAGTGGAATTCATCTTTTTATGTGGCACAGATTTCTTTCATGTGTTTAAACTTAGACCAATGTGATCAGTTTGCTGTGACTGCATTTAGAGCATTTAATGTTAAAATTGTAGGGATAGCAAAAAGCACTATACATGTTAAAAAACAGAGATTGTTAGATGCTTGACTCAATTATGACCCTCTTGAAATAATGCATTTGCCTCAAACACTGTGATATAGGACCAGTTCTGTGAAGTGTAACAATTAATTTATTCATTCTAAACATGGAAAAGGCTTTCTGCACACTACTACAAGGAAGTTCATGTTCAAACTTTAAGTTATATATCCCAATCTAGCAAAGGCACATCATAATTTTTGTTTTGCTTTCTGACCAAAAACTGTGCTCGATTGTAATACGGGTGTATACTCTGTCAAAAAACCTAAAATAATGGACTGCTTTCTAGGGTAGATCAAACTGATTTGTAGAGTAGTTTCATAAATATTCAAAATTCAGGTTGGGCTGTTATGTGAAGAAGAAAGAACTTCAAGGTAACAACATTCAACTTTACTACATTTAGTGAGCTGAAAATTTTGTTATATATATATATATATTTACACACATATATATATATATGATACATATAAACTTATCTTTGTAAAAAAATATGCAAGTGCAATAATTTAAAGAGGTCTTAACTTTGCATTTATAAATTATAAATACTGTACATGGTGTGTAATTTTTTTCATGTATTCATTTGCAGTCTTTGTATTTAAAAAACAAACCTAAACCTTTACTATTACGTTTGTACAATAGAACAGTAAGCATTTATTATGATATAGTTAAGTTGTAAATAAATTCACAAACCAAACAGCCAGTATGTATGCATATATGGGTGTCCTATTGTGAAACCTGTTTTTGCTTTTATTGCTGGCTCTAGCACAGCAAGACTACTTCTGTGGATATGTAATTATACATATAAATATATGTATGATACATAAAGTATATTTAGAAATGTTCATAATTTTAATGGATATATCTATACATATACTTTGGTGTGAATACTACTGAATACAGAGTTTTTTAATATTATTTTTCATGTTTATTTTTGCTATTATTGGGAATGCAAGTGAGGGATGGGAATGTGTATATGTGTGTTTACACCATAAGTAAGCCACAACACAAAGCGATTCAAAACACAGTGGGGTCTTTTAAATAGGTAGTGCTTGGTTTTCCCTGTATTTTCAGTTTACTGCTTATGGTGTGTTTTCCCAATATAGGACAATTTTTTTAAATATATTTTTATAACCTATTGCAAGTTCACATTGTCACAAATTTCAAAGGGATCCCCTTTTCTGTTTGGCCTCATGCTGCCAGAGAACTACCTTGCTGTTGGCAGATAACTTCCATACAGATCCTTGCTTTGGCACTGTCAAATGTTAGTGTAGCTAATTCTACCTTTTGGGAATTACATAGGTACTCATATGCTGAATTGTAAAAGAATTGCACCCAAATTTGTGAGGTTTGCTAGTCCAAAGCAATATAGGGCTTTAACAGCTGCCTATACCATGAAAGTACAATGTAGGTTCAAGGAACCATAAAGCAAAATTCTGAACAACACATTAAAAATAAAATTAAAAAATAGGTGGAAAAAAAATCCTATGTATCTATCCACTTCTTGTAACCAGCCCTTCCAGAAAGCTCTGTTTGTGGCAAGGATTGTACTATGAGGGGCAAACTTATGTGATGAGACAGAAAATGAGCTGATATTTAATGCGTTTTTTAGGGTTTGTTCATTAGGGGTTTGTTAAAACTTTCTTAATTATTTTTAGGGACGGACAATAGAAGGGGAATGTTTCTGTGTATACTATTAATTTAGTCCTTTCCACCTGTTTCTGTATTGTTGGAAAGGATCTAAAGGCTGGAGTCAATTAATGACTTTCTGGTCAAGATGCTGAAACTGATGGCAGATGGATGATATGCCTTTTCATATTTTTCTGTTTGTGCAGACTTAGCTCTTGTAGTGCAGCATGGTGCTCTGCCATTGATGGTCACTGTCCATTTGGTGTGCTTTTCTGAACAATTTTAGCCCACTGTTATTGAAAAACATCATCAGAAACTTACAAAAATCAACTCCAGATATATTCCATTGCAGATAGTGGAAAATATAAATGCAAAAGCACCTTAAATCATTGACATTTGGGGAGGAAATGAGTATTGCTGTTGGTTTTGAGGAACTCTGAATTTGGCTTATTTGAAAGTATCCAAGTGCTCTGTGACAGAAATATCAATGACTTTCACCTGCTCAACAAGTGTTGGAGATTATTTTGTTGTACTTATTTTGCTGAAGACAATTACTAAGGAGAAATTCCCCTTCCTCAATCTGTAGTCTCTCTTTTTAAGATTAGGGAGAAAAGTTTTTTTTAGTGTGTTTCAGTAGTGCTATGGAAGAGCTACCTGTACCGTGGAAGTTGCTTATGAAGATGAAGGTCTTTGTCTCTGGGTCAAGAATGAATTACAGAGAGATGCTTCAGAAGGTAGTTCATGTGTACATAAGGCCTGTTGTTTAAAAGACTGAAAGAAAGGAGAAATCTGAGATTCAAGAACTGTGAAAAGAATACCAGGTAAAGTTTTTCTTTCATGGTTTTTTTGGGGGAGGTTGTAACATTGCTGGAAGGGCTAAATGATTTTCATCCCATCAGCTGTAAACATTCAGCTGGAATTAATTGTTTTTCTTTTCTACAGCATTGTAAATCTTGTCAATACAGGTGAGAAAATGATTTTTGTAGAGCTACTTCTCTTCCTTTAGCAGTATTTCTGCTGCTTATAGAAGCAACATCAGTTGTTAATACACACTATTTAATAAGCATATGGAAATGAAAAAATAGGTCTCATAAAAAAAACCAAAACAACCAAAAGAAAAAAAACACACACACAAAAAAAAAAAACCAAAAAGCCAAGAAGCACCTATGAAAGTCAGTGTCTGTCAGAAGCCTTTGAAAATTTTATCATCAGTGTTGGGAATGGTGAATGTGATAGAGTGACGAATATGGGTAGTTTCAAGTTAGTGCTGATGGACAAGTTGATTACTAAGAAGAGAAATGGTATGATAACTAATGTTAATTTCCAGTTAGTGAAGTCCAAATTGTTTTCTGCTTGCAGAAAGCAAAAATATTCAATATCAGGTGTATTGTACATCTTGTGACAAAAAAAATCCCAACCTGGTTAAAAAAAATGTATTTTCTCTTGTGACTAGTATGGGAAAGAGGCTAGCAATGTGTGCCTTTCTTTTTAACATGAAATGTACTGAAGCTTGAAGAGAAGAATATTTACAGTACATTTGGAAAGACAATGGACATCTGTTAAGATGCTACTTATGGACTTGAAGGAATAAAGTTGTTCTGTGACAGATTTTCCTTATGATCTGGTGTAAGTTGCTCAACACTCTGTGGTTTGGGGGCTTCTTTAAGTTATTTAAGCCTCCAAACACTTCTTTTTTCTTTGGTATTGTGCATGTTTGGAAATATTCCTAGTTACATGCAGTCCAGAATTCAAAATATATGTAGAGGCGATCAGGTGGTCATCTTATAATATATAT